AAGGACGGTACTTCGCTTGTCAGATTCAGATTTCGCGGGTGTGCCGCGTGAGGCAGTGATGTAACCATAGGGATGTAACGCCAGGTTGATGCTGTGACGTAACGCTGCATCGATGCTTGCGTAATGCGGAAGTGGGATCTAAACTGGGTTGGAAAAACGATAGACGCGCCCCGGCCACACGAGGACGATAACGGTCGTTTCCGCTACAGCTCACTATCAGATAGACGGTTCGTCCACACGAGGCCGACATGGAAACGCAGAAAACGATAACGGGTCCCAAGGTGGGTAGATCTGCAAACGAAACGCTCTGGGGGGGCAAACGGCTCCGTGTTTACGACTATACGATCATTTCCTGATAACGATGACGCAATAGCCCCGCCTCTCCCACCTCTCCTGCTCAGAGATCAGCTGCTGGGCTCTCAGGAGAGGGGGAGGACAAGAGAGGCTCCGTTTTTTATCATTATATTATTACATAGACTCGTTATCAATTTGTTTTAAAGCTCAATAAATAACAAAGAAGACCTCTGACCGGCACTTTTCTAATTTTGTCCGGAAGATTTAAACTTTAACGGACATGTTGACCGGAAACTCTGCCGCACGGTCCCCTCGTCCCTTGGAAGAGGCGGAGAGGTGGGTGTTTTCCATCTGCTGGTGGACTACCGGAGAGATTTACAGCAGGAGCACACGCTTGCCTCATTCAAAGGCAGGTCCTTTGGACTCGGAGAGACGAGTTGTCTTTCAATTTTTCCTATCTCGACCGTCTTAGTTTTGTTTGCGGGGAGCAATCTTTAGCAGAGTCCCTTTTGTCTAGCAAGTATTTGTTGATTTTCCGAAGTGGTAAAAACCTCTAATCGTCACTTATTTTCTTACAGACTGCACAGCCCTCGTCTCCTTCAAATGCTACGTCTACAAAGACGACGAAGTGAAGTGTTTCAACTATGAAGGTTGTCATTTGACGTTTTACTAAACAGTTCCAATCTACATCAAAACACATCAATTAGTCCGACCTCGTATGGTGTTCCTGCTATTGCGGTTTGGCTGGCTTTAACTATAGTTTTTTCAGAAGGCAGGTGTGCGTTGTCTTTGCACAGGCAAGTGTGCTCTGAGCGAGGTTTCGCGACGTCTGCGACATCATGTATACGTCCGGACATTCACCGCGACATCAGGACGGTGGTTTTCGTCGCTTCTTCTGAAGGGCGTACCAAACGGTACCAACGGAAGACAATTAAGAGGCGACACCTGCGAGACCGAGAACAAGNTCAGATGATTGGTCGTGCTTTTTACAGCGCCACGGCTTCCACAGATGAAATATTGTTATGTATTTATTGTCAAAGCATTTAATTTATTCATTGCTATCGGGATGTTAAGAGCATTCCATGGAATATAACAAAAAGTGTTTCTGAAGTGAATTACCTACCCTACCTTTAAGTGTTCATGCAGTTGAATCTAGACCTCTTTAAAACAGTTTCACTAAGAGACCAAACATGACAACCTTCGTGAAAGTAAATCGGTTACAGGTGTGTATAAATGCATGTGTAACAGTACATACATACAATCATAAATAAATAATCATCATTCACCTTATTGGACTTTCTTGTGTGTCAGGTGGGCACACAACCTCCGATAAGAAGACTCCATGTTTGGACTTGCGTGTCTTTGAGGTGGAAATGTGTGCAGGGCTGTCCGCAGGTAAAGCAGCCGCAGCATCCTTTGACTTGTTTCGTTTCTTGGTTTTCCTGATAGGGGATGTTGGGGGGGCTTCGGGAGCTTGCCTTACTGCCCCCTCTCTCCTGGATCTCCTCGCTTCTGGGACGGACGGAGTTGAAGTGATGGGAGGCTCATCATCAACCTCAACAACTATGGCCGCTGTTTCTTCAGCTTCAGCAGCAGCAGGTGGAGCATCCTTTTCTTCTTTAGCTTTCTTTCTGCCTTTTCTTGCTCGTTTCTTTTTAGCCACTTTATTTTCTTGCATGGCGGCAGGCACTTGCTCAGCAGAGGCTGGAGTTACTTCTTCAGCAGCTTTGTCTGCATCATCCGCAGCTTTCTCTCCAGCTTGCTTCTGCTTGCCCTGGCTCTTTCCAGGCTTGCTTTTGGACCCATCCAGACCGGGCTGTTTGAAGGCAGCCATGAACTGCTTCTTCACTGCCTCGCTGCTCCTTGGTGTGGATTCACTCTCGATCACAGCCAGCTCCAAGTCTTCCTCTTGAAGAACCACGTTAGATTTACGCTTGACAGACAAAGAGGCAAAAGGAAGTTGGTGTCCGGACTCTGTGTGAGGAGACGATACAACCTCTGCAGGGCTCATCTGACCTTTTCTCCTGTTGAAGATTGTAGCTAACTTTCCTCGTGCCTTGGCTACTTCGTGGTTAGGTGAGACTACATGCACCTCTGCCTGGATGGTGACAGTTCGGGGCGAGACATGGAAAGGCGACACCCCTGAAAGAACATTTTCCTCTGCTTTAAGGATCTCCATTTGGTCTGAGGCTATTCCTTCTGCCTCAGGTGTGATTTTACTTGAATCTTCTTTGTCCTCTGCACCCTTTCTCTTGTCCTGGTTCCGCACAAATTCCTCAAAGGAGACCGTGACAGTGCTGTGGTTTAACTGAGAGGCCTCATCCAAATTGACTTCCATACTAACATCACACAAGGAGCTCTCGTTCTCCTCTGGTTCCGAGTGCTTCGCCTTCTTAGTATTCCGTGCCACAGTTTTGACTCGTTTTGATTTATCTTTTGATGGTACAATTGGAGATAATTCAATACCAATCAGTTCCAGATTAGGTTTGACACCGTTTCCACATTTGGAACCATCTTCTTCAGCCTGCTCAACACTGACAGTCTTAGTGGTATTACTCTCCGATTCCCCCCCAGTGATACAGGTCTCAGCACTAAACTGGGCGATCAGGGCTGCTGTATCACTGCCAAGAACACCACAGCTGCTGATGGCTTCTGAGGCCGAGTCTCTGCTTTCATGTTGTTCTTCTACAATCAGGCAGCTTGGTTCCTCTGTAAAACTTATGGTTTCAGCCTCCACAAGTTTTCTTGCAACTTTGCTGGCCTTTCTAGTCCGTTTCTGTGATGGCTTTTTCACTGCTACCTCTGGGCTGGTGTGTTTTCCAGCAGGTTGAGAAGTCCGACAGTTCTCTTTTGACAGTTCAGGTGAGCTGGTCTTTTCTTTAGAGGACGGAGCCTTACGGTTAAAGTAGTCCATGATGTTGTTGGAGCGCGGAGGAGAAAAGGGTTTCTCCTCAGGCTTGGGCACAGGAGAGAAGTAGTTTTTGATCGTCTTGACAACAGGATTGCCGCCATCTTTGTGAGATTTCTTGCAAGGCTGTAAAAGGAGTGACAAAATGATCAACTACATAATGCAAAAGGAAATAATAAGAACACTTCCAAAAAGCTGCGTTGCATTTTAGATATGGGACAGATCTGTGTCAAAGACATACCTGGGTGTCAAAGTCCTCAATGACAGATGCCATAGCCACAACACCAGCCATCATTTGAAGAGACCTAAATCAAAAAGGTAAATACTGTTATGTACTTGGAGAACAAAGCAGAGAGGAACTCTAATTATATTCAAATGAGTACAGTGGTCTAAATCCCATGCCATAAAAACAAGTTGCCTGAGAAGTTAGGAAGCTTTATCAAAAGTAACACGGCAATTATTATTATTATTATTATTATTATTATAGATTTCAATTATCTTTCTTGCTTCAACAGAAAAGTGAAAAAAAACAACACTCTAATGTAAAAATGTATTTGGATGTTTCAAATAAGAATATACAAATGATCAAATCAATACATTTTAGTGTTAGTCAATTTACCGCCATGGTATCCGACAGTGTAAACAGTCCTACACAAAACAGTACCGTAAAAAAGCAATAATACCAAACAATGCAAGAAGTCAGTTAGTATGAAGTGTTTATAAACAGCATATTAGTATAAATCGTATAGGCGTCACGGACAGCCAGGAACAGCTGACATTAGCATCATTATTATTCCTGACATGGCGCCCTGTGCCTAACTGGTTCTTCCTCCAGTGTTTGTAACAAATGACGAGCAAGTATACAAATAAAGGAAAATACTTACCAATAAAAACAGAACTTTCTGCAACTTCGTCTTCTTCTTTCTATTACTTATTCACCTCCCCGAGAATGTGAACAAACAATATAAATTCATTGTGTGAGACGGACAGCTGTGTGTGTTGCCACCAGACTTATAAATGTCTCTGTAAAACAACAAGCTAGCAGACTTCAATGGAAGCTACTTTCAAACACACTCCGCTCCTCACAGCTTCCAAAAGTGGTCCAAACATTTCCAACATGTCAGCGACGGACATATTAAAGCACCAAGGAAAGCGTTAAACGGTTATAATCCACATTGTTTCCGAGTAAGGTTTCAAAAACATGTTTCTTCTTGACGTATTTTGCTCTTTCAAAAACGCGCCAGATTACTAGTGAATGAAGAGCGCCAAATATACGTGACCTTTGGCATGACCCATTTCCACCAATCACACAAGAGAACATCTCTACGTCATCGCCAGACGTTGTTTGCCCATAACAAAGATGGCGGGTGGGGAAGCATTTTAATAGAGAGGGAAAAGTGACAGTCCCCTCTGCTGGCTGCGACAATTTAGTGATCACTCAAAAATGATGATACGTTGTCATTATAAATAAATCCGAAGTACTGAGATTTTTCATTTAAAATGAGAAATTCCAAAGAGTAAAAATACTCTGCTACAAGTCAAAGTAATGCGTTCAAAATATTGTTTAAGCAGGTATTTGCTTTTGGGTGTCTACATACAATAAGCAGCCTGTATGCATCTTAATATACGTAGGCTATTGCAAAAGTAAAATAATCCTATTAATTATTCAAAATGTGTCCAGTTAAGATCAAATAAATGAAATGTGTGTATTTATAAGCAGCACTTGTTTTAATGATGATCTGAAACTACGCGAAACCATTTTATGAAACAAAATCTCCAAAAAAAACAAGTGTCTGTCAGAGCTGCCAAGTCTCACCCTTTGAGAGTGAGAGTCACGCAATTTAACCTCTTCACACGCCTCACGCCACACTTGCCATTTCACACGCTTTTTTCCCCCTCTCACTACTTTATAATTTTTTATTTTATTTAATGATATATTTCCATAACTTGTTGCTTGAGGCCTGCCGTAGTTCGAGTCAGGGACAGGGTGAGCCCGCCCTATTCTGCCCCCCGATTGGCTGACCGAGATATGTGATAACCAATCATCAGCCCTCGAGGCTAAATCTAACCAACCCAACGAAAGGCACCACGTATACAAACCAATCAGAGGCAGCTTAGGGCGGGTCATTGCGTCTCTATCCTATGAAGACAACTAGAACAACACTTATGGCGGAGAAATCGAAAAGTAAACGTGACTATAATGCCGTGACTGACATTTTCATCTGAAGCGGGAGATCAAGCGGTCGGTAACCACACATTATTTTTACAAATATGGGTCTGACTACGTGAGACTTAACGTCACACAGGCTGCTGGTGAGCAGTGTGGCAGGTTGCTGCGGTGGGTTTAACAACAAACAACTGTGACTAATGTAGCAGTGTTAGTTAAATCATCACGTATTTGCGTGTGTGAGCTAATGGATATTTACTATGAGCTAAGGGAATTTACAGTACTATACCTGTGCTGTTTGCATTTCTGTCTAATAAAAATATTCAATCAATCAAACAGTAACATGTAGCTATCTTTTGAGACTGGATCATTCATTCCTTAACTGTATACTTCGATTTCTGTCTGATGTTTGTCTGTTAGTTTGAAAGTCTGAAAGATGTCAGGTAGACTCTTGGCTCTTGTCACATTTTCTTAACATTTTCTTAATAGATTGTAAAGTTTAATGACCACATCTGAAAAACAACCCGTTTCAGCTACATTACTTTACCAGATCAGTGCACATTGTGTTCTTTTTAGGTTTCCTAAACTTCTCCCATACAACGGACCTGACGAGCGTGACAAACTGAGTGAGGAGTTTCTGGACTACCAGTCCATGGACATTGCCATGCCCGAAGACCCAGACACGTTCGACATTGAGAGCTTTTGGGGGAACATGGCATCAATGAAGAATAAGGTAAGAATTATTCTGCCCCCTTTGAAATACCCATTGACGTAATCAACTTAATTCTATACAAAAATACTTGAGAGTAATTAGGCTTCCTATGTACATTTTTCAAAGGTGACCGGTATGAGCAGATTTGGGAGGCTCTCTCGTATTGCCAAGTTGGTGTTGGTACTTCCACATTCAAATGCTGATGCTGAACGAGTGTTCTCTGTGGTGGTGGGACTGAACAAAACCGAAACAGTTTGGCTCTTGATGGAACTCTATCATCCATCATGACTGTGAAGATGGCAAACCTTTCAAATGGGAGCCCCCTCCCTCTGTCATCAAGGCATCAACATCTGCCACAAACACCTACAACATGAGACCAAAACACACAAACAAAGACATGCACATTTTTTATAATACATATTATATATATTATTCTGGTTCTAATTTTGTTACACTTAAAAAAAAAATGCACTAAAGGAAAAGGCTGCTATTGTTTCTTAAAAGGCTGCTATGTTTTCTTTATATTGACATTTTATAAATAAATGTATTTTATTTGTCAAACTTTTTCTTGTTACAATTGCTTTCATTTCTACTTGTGCTGGTCAATTATTAACACTATATAAGCTAAGGAGTCCGACAGTGCAGGGTGAGCAGCTGGCATGGGGGTGAAGAGACATCACAACAGTCTTAATGTTAATTTAAATTGAGATATTCCTCTAAATCGACGTTAAAAAAGGCCAAAAAATGTTCGCCGACCTTTGGTCGGTGGTCGAACGCATCTTCCCCCGAAAGTCTCACTCCTACTTTTTACTGAAACTTGGCAGCCCTGGTCTGTAATGGTAAAAGGTAAATGCAGAGTCAAAGTCAATCTCGCATGTTCATGAATGTGAGGTTACTGTGAAATTAGATCTGTTAACTGACTAATTAAAACAATTCCCAGCACCAAATTCATAGCTTTAAATGTAAAAAATGACTGGAGTCCAATGTATCAAACCACACCATATTCGTGTTCAAGTAAAACAGAGTGGTGTGCAGAGGTTTAACATAACATCATATACTAGGCAAACTTGACTTTCCTGTTTATCCGAATCTCAGTCCCCATACACGCATAAACAATGAATCTGGCATTGATGCTGGGGATTTAGCCGAGTTATTTTCAATAGAGTCACTCGACTGGAGCAGAAAAGTCAACAGTGGCAATGGAAACAAAAGGTAAAGTTTAAGCTCATATGACTCCTGACCTTTTCTGCATTGTTTAGGACATTTATGTAATGCAAGTGTTTATTCATTGATTTGTTAATCACATCGTTGTCATTTTATTTGTTTAATAGAGACAATTACACATTGTTAATAAAGAAAAAGTCATTGTATGTCACGGTAATTATGTTTATTGAAACTAATTGCTGGCTTTTGTCCCTGCTTAGGCTTTTCAAAATCATGATGAATTGTTTTATTATTAGAATTGAATCTGAATTCAACTGTAATAATAAAACAATACTTTTCCTGAGTTATCAGCATTTGTTTGTTGCTGTAAATATGGGGAAACGGTTATTAGGCGTGATGGACATTTCCAGATCTGCAGGGGATTTTCCAGTTCCAGTTTCTGTGAGGAGGTTGTAAATAATCATGCTAGTGTTTCACTGAATGTCGCTACACAATAAGGATAAGATGCCTTGAATTACTCAGCTGTATTTTAAAGATGCTGTTCTCGCTCATAGATGATTATTAATGCACTATTATGTTTATTACCTTGCAAATGTAAGTTTGTGCATTCACTATTAATGTGTATAAAAACCTAACATCACTCGCTCATGTCACAAATTTTACTGAGCTTGTCGGTAGATCTGCAGATATTTGATTTAAACTCAAAGACAGAACAGTTTTTACTTTTCATTATGCACTGATATTGCCACCACACAAGCCATACTGCTTGTATAAGCTGGTATTTGACAGTCCTTCACAGCAGGATTTCCTGATGACAGATGTGTGTTTTAGTATAAGTGAATTTAATGTTGCAATAACATTGTTGTCAAAGCTATACTTTTCATGCAAATAGACAGATCATAAAAATGTTCTAGATTTATATAATGCATGTAAATGGGAAATTTGTTATATCTCTTACAGGGCAAACTAAGCACCCTCCGGAGTTGAGGATTGTGTTATTAGGTGGAAGAGTATTATGCAGTGACCCCAGTTTTAAAAGTACAGCTGGCAACATCATACTTGGCAAAAGTGTTTTTGAGACCAACAGAAGAACTGCCCAGAGTGTTGTGAGGCAGCGGGAGGTACATGGCAGACGGGTCACTGTGGTTGATACTCCAGGCTGGTGGTGCCACTACCCACGAGAAAACACCCCAGAGCTGGATCAGATAGAAATCAAGAACAGCGTCCATCTGTGTCCCCCCGGGCCTCACATATTTCTTCTAGTCATTCCTTTAGAAGAAGACTTTCCTGACATTTTCAAGGAATCCCTTGAAGAGCACATGCAACTCTTCAATAAAGGAGTCTTTGATCAAACCATTGTGCTGTTCACTTTAGATGATCCATGTAAATCAAGTTTAAAATACAACATCCCTTTCTGGCCAGCACTTCAGATGATTCTTCAACAATGTGGAAACCGAAAGCATGTTTTCAACATCAGCAACCATCAGGATAGGACTCAGGTCACAACGCTTTTCCAGAAAATAGAGGCAATGGTTGCACAAAATGCTGCTGGTCACTATTCTATTGATGCTGCTGATGGGAGTGCTCTGAGAGAGAAAATGAAAGCAATCGTTGAAAGAGCATCAAAGAGGTTTGCCGAAGTGCAGGCAAAAAGAAGGAAACTCAAAGCCCTGATTGAAGGTAAGTCAGAAATGTCTCTAATTGGATAAAAAAATGCAGACAAATATGACGAAGATAACATTTATCAATAGCCTTTTGACATTACAACGCAAATGATACCTGCAAAGATACCTCACGTCCTCTTTGATTTAAACAATTTTTTTCCCTTTGAGAAGTTTCTGATTTTACTGACTTAGGGGTTTGAATAGTATAAAAAAACGGTCAACCTGACAATTACATAATGATGCACAAAACCTCAAGTCTGAATATTTTTTATTCCACTTTGTCTCTAGGTGGCAAAACTCCCCCAACACATTTGAGGCTAGTGATGGTTGGTGCACAGTGGTCAGCCAAGAGCTCAGCAGGCAACACCATTCTAAGGAAATATGCGTTTCCTGTTACTCACACAAGAACAACTGTGTGCTGCGAAATAAACCACAGCGTGGTGGCAGACAGGCAGCTCACAGTGGTAGACTCTCCAGGCTGGTTATACAACGGCACCCTTCAGGAGCTCTCTGAGATTAATAAACTTGAAATAGAAAACAGCATGCATCTGTGCACTTCAGGACCCCACGCAGTGCTCCTTGTTGTCGGCCTGGCATCCGCGTTCAACGCAACATACCAGAAAGCGGTCCAGGAGCACATGAGTCTGTTCACGGATGAAGTCTGGAAGCACACAATTGTTCTGTTTACCAGAGGTGACTGGCTGGGAGTGAAGACTGTGGAAGAGCGCATAGAGAGTGAGAAGGGTCTGCAGTGGCTTGTGGAGAAGTGTGGGAACATGTATCATGTCTTGGATAACAAAAACCACAGTGACAAGACTCAGGTAACGGAGCTCCTTGAGAAGATTGAAGAGATGTGGGCCGGAAACAAAGATGGTTCTTTTGAAGTCAACCTGGGCCGTGCTGAGCAGATGGAGGCAAGAAAAGAGGTTGCAGACAAGAAGGCAAAAAAGATTCGTCAGACGGCACAAAGACAAGCAAGAATACTCGAAGAGTTGTTTCGAGGTAATCAAAAAACTGAATGTATGATTAATTTAGATATTATTACTATTTCTAATTGAAAAAAACCTCACATTTCCCAAGGGGAGACGCAGACAATCACTGACCATAGGGTTGTACTTATCGGCCCGAAAGACTCTGGGAAGGGTATGGCAGGAAACATGATCCTTTTTGAAGAGCTCTTTGGCACAGCTCGGATGAAGAAGGTAGCCAACCTCTACAGGTTTTTTTGGGGGGGAAACATCTGATTGTTGAAGTCTGTTTTGGTTGTTATATTATTTTGTTTGGTTACTTCTATGCAGGAATTCCAAGATCAGAGAAGAACCACAATGTGTGAGAAACATGAAAGCAATGTTGCTCGACGAAATATCACCGTGGTTGAGGCGCCAGGCTGGTTTGCAGACGAGATCACACCCGACTGGCTCAAGACTGAAGTTCTGCGCAGCGTCTCAATGTGTGCTCCTGGTCCTAATGTTTTTCTCTTGGTTGTACCCATTTTCAAAACCTTTACAGAGAATGACTACAAAACAATGGTTGAGCTCTTGATGCCATTCGGTGACAGTGTCTGGAGGCACTGCATGGTGCTGTTTACCTGGGAAGACTGGCTCAATGAAAGGTCCATTGAGGAGCACATTGCCACAGAAGGCGAACACCTGGAACAGCTGGTGGAAAAGTGTGGGTACAGATATCAAGCCATAAACTGCAATCCTTATGGTTATTTTGCTTTACCTATCATACAGCTGTTTGAGAAAATGTTTGACATGATAACACGAAACAAGGGCCAATACTTTGCCGCTGAAGACAAAATGGGGAACAAGCGAAAACAAACGCAGTGGCAAGAGGAGTGGAACAGGAGGGAGCAGGAGCTAATCGACCGGATGTTGAAAGCTGTTGCACAAGAACCAGAAGAACCGATCGTACCATCTATTAAGATGAACGCAAGCATGGATGGAGCCTTCACTCCGAGCAGTGAGTTTGATATTACTCAGTTAATCTAGGAAATGTTTTACAATTATTTTAAAGTGTAAGATACCATATGGCTTGTCACGATAATAACATTATCGAATTATCGTATTAAATGTGGTTATTGCATCGATAACATTGTTGCTATGTTACCAATTTAACATATTGACCAGACCTTTATAATCTGAACACTATTAGCCCGTCATACTGTATGTGGACATAAATTCAATCAGATTTTCTGTTACCAATTTATCGTACCATCAATAGACATGACCTTGATTATTTTAGTGCCATTGTCTCAACCTACGATGTAGCGAAATGTCTTTGATAATTTTTACATTAACGACTTATCATACATTATATGAATTTTTTTATTTTTTATTTTTGTTGACGTCAATATTGTTTTGTTTACATGAGAATGGAATCATCACACATTTTAGACAACATATTGAAGGATTTTCAATATTTTGGCATTGGTCATTTTTCGTTGACATCCAGACCATTTCCAACAAAAGTAGTTAAACCATTCAAATTCTGTTTTCAGTGAGCGGAGATATTCCCAGAGAAGTTGGGGGCACATTTTGTAGTCAAAGAGAACGTGCCAAAGTGACTGAATGGCTGAGCGTTAGATTTGGGGGCTCTGATGTCACCTCTGGGGTCGACAGCATGAGTATTTCAGCCAGTGATGTGGAGATGTTGGACCAAAGCCTCTCAAAACGCAGGCACTCTTTTTAGCACACACAAGCAGGCTGGTAACTATGGAAACAAAAGAGAAAAAGTGCACAGAAAGCACAGTTTTCCAAACACTGTTGGACCCTGCCAGAAAATTGGTGATTATCCAGCTGTATTACTTTCTGATGCAGCCAATACTATGTATGTTATGTTCAATGTTTATTATTTAATGTGATTATGTAATCATGTCAATGCAGAGTTTATATTTTCAGGTCTTCCCTGTAACAGTGTAAAAAAGCATGTTATAGCATATCATGAATAGAAAACGTTAATTGTATGCAGAACATTAAATAATTTAAAGATTCAGAATTTCCCCCAAATATCAGTCTGGCAGGCGATACCGCAGCATCCAGACTAAAACCACCAGACTCAGGGACAGTTTCATCCCACAGGCCATAAGACTATTAAACACCTGCACTTGGAAACAACATCCATAAAATTCATCTGGCTGCATCTTAGAAATTATTTATCTAATATATCATATTCCAATCACTTGTATATAGAGTCATATTGCTCTTATTGTACTTTTTCACAATTTTACTAATTTACTATTTTTACTTATTTACTTGCACTAATTTTTCAGTTTTATTGTGTTGCACTGTTGGAGGAGCCTGTGGCCTAAGATGTTCATCGTCATAACTACACTATAGCTATGTACGTATGACTAATAAAAGCCTTGAACCTTAAGGCTTGAACTAATTAATGGTGATATATTATTGATGGTAAAGCAATCCAGCAATCCACCTATCTGTTTGTTAGAAATACCCCCACCTTTGTCAGTTGCATCATTACAATTATGTACAAAGTAATGCATCAATGTATCCTACATTATTCTGAAATGGGCCATTCTATATAGGTAGGCTACTTTTTAGTGGCTAGATACTTGATTTATGATGCTAACACAGTTATTTTTACGTTGATAACATTGAATAAAGGAGCTTAACTTGTAATGAAGGATTTTTCAGTGTGGTATTGTCATTCTGTGGTATTACTTAAGCAACATATCTGAGTCCTTCTTTGGCCACTGTTTTTTTGTAAAGTCCTCTTTACATTAACGGACAATCATGTGTTTTGTTATGGAACTAATTTTAAAAATAAATTGTACTATTGTTGTACACTTGAATATCTGCTTGCATTTATTTCCCCTAGACTTCTGCTCTCAGAGGTGGTTTATTACTAAAACCAATAATAATTTAATGCAGAGGTAAGTATTTAATAGTATAAAAAGTATATATATATAATATACTCTTAAAGTTACAACTAGCCAAATGAGGGCAACCATAAGGCTGATGTGGCTTATGATGATCATTGGTGGAAAGTTACTAAGTACATTTACTCAAGTACTGTACTTAAGTACTTTTTTGACATTTTTGTACTTTATACTTCATCTCCACTACATTTCGCAGGTGAATATCATACCTTTTACTCCAGTACATTTATTTTAACGGTCACAGTTACTTGTTACTTTGTAAATATAAAAACACACATGCTGATATAGTGTAATGCAGTAGTCCATTAGTTACAACACTGAAATGCTCTTAAATGTGTAAAAGTAAAAACATGATAACATACTGTGAAAAGATGCATAACGATTACTTTTACTGTTGAAACTTGAAGTACATTTAGCTGATAATACTCCTGTACTTTATATTATCCTGAATCAGGTCATTGAGCAGATGAGTACTTTTACTTTTTGTACTTGAATTACATTTTGATAAAAATTACTTTTATACTTTTACTGAAGTAGAACATTTAAATCAGGACTTTTACTTGTAGTGGAATATTTTAAGACCATAGTATTTGTACTTTTATTTAAGCACATTATGCTATTATTACTTGTTCCAACACTGATGATGATAACAGCGTAATACAAACGCGAAAGCACCTTACAGGCCTCCGTCGTTTCTCTCCGTTGATTTCCTGTACCCGTTAGTTTTTTTACTTTTCGTCCCAGTGTTGCGCAACTGCTGCTTTTCTGCTTTCTTTCCAGCACCTTTCTTCTGGTCGACATGTCGGAGTACAATGCGGTGCCTGCAGCGGGACCCGGGGACCCTCTGAACGGGCAGACAGCTCTCGGGAACGGGGCAGGAGGCATCCAGAAAGATGCGTTCGCGGACGCAGTGCAGCGGGCCCGGCTGGTGAGGAGGAGGGAGGTGACAGCTGAGCTGGGGGAGGGCTAGCTTTCTGCTTAGCTTATGGGCTATTAATGTTTACACAGCCTGATATATTCTATTAATATTTTTGAATTATCATGTATTTTTGAATTGTTAATAGTAGTAAAAGTAAGCTAGTAATGTATGGTCACTGCTTGTCGTAGCTGAAACACTGTCTGTGTGTCCCAACAAACCCAGTGTGTAAGTGACAGGGTGATAGGAAAATAAAACTTGCAAGATTAGCTTAACAATTACCTAAATTCGAGTCAATAAAAATACAACATTATGGGTTTGATGTTTATAATAAATGTGGGGGTGGTTTATATAAAACCCATGCAGGTATGATGGCAAACATACCTGGTTGGCATAAAACAAGCCAAGAAAAAAAGGCAACTTGTAAAATAACCAAAATCCAATCAACTAATTACTGTATATAGGCCTAGTCTTAATTATGTATTATGTTATTTTTAAGTGGATTTATATTTTTGTATTATTTGGGACTGTGAGAAGTGGCCTTTCGATTTCCCTGTTTGTACAGAAATTGACAATAAAGTGAATTTGACTTGACTTTAGACTTCATATTATTATCGTGGATGTCCCAGATCAGATAGATGGACAACTTCATTTATTTATATACTTTTTACATGTTCACCTATTACTTTTGTACATTATAGTCCTGTCTATTCTTTACCTTCATATTTCTACTGAGAGCATTGCAAAAAAACAAGTCAATTCCTTGTTTGTGAAAAAATCCTTGGCATAAAAAGAGGTTATTCTCTTCCAGACCTTAAGTCTGACATGCTCAGTCTCAAGTGTAGCTTATACTTGAGTTTTATCATGTTGGCACACTTGAAGGGGAGGGTTGGACCATCTGTTTTTTTACAGCTCAATTGTCATGGTTACCTTTATTCTTTCTTTTCAGATTGCAGCAAAGATTGGAGTTGATGCTGGTCCTCCTCCCACGAACAACAACACTGCATCAGATGGCTTTCCCTTCACTGCACAAAAACGGCAGCTGGAGGATGCAGGTATTGGTCACCTCACTACTCAGTGCACAGTCTTCTCAATCAAAAGGTTTATTTTGTCACTCAATTGAATAAATACCTTTCTTACCTGTATTGTCTGTATTGCATGCGCCTGACAGATGAACCAGAGAGTAAAAAGCTGGCTGCTCAGAGTGACTTGGATTCAGCCAATGCATTGTGTGAGTGCATCCCTCTATTCAATTTTCTATTTCCTTTTTGCGCTGTGATGTTTAAAATATATAGCTGACTATTTAGTAGAGACTTCCAGCTGTAATCTCTTTTTTTCTGTTTATGTCTCAGCTATTGGTGAACAACTGGCTGCTCTTGCACAACAAAGGTAAGGTCTGATCATTTTCAGTTGTTTGTATGTATAAGTTTGAAGCCTTTTTATAAATGTTGCCTGATTTATTGCCTCTTTTTCCCTGATTGTCATTCTTGCCTGCTGATAGTTCCAGGCCTGCCTCCAACACAGAGGAATACAGTGTCCCGGACAGCATGGTGGGACTCAGTGAGTTCAAACCAACTCAGTTTTAGCACACAAAAAGATACGCTTTGAGAGTGTGACTCACTCACAACAAAGTTGTATCTCTCTTTCTCTACAGTTATTGGCCGTGGGGGTGAACAGATCAATAAGATTCAACAGGAGTCCGGTTGCAAGGTTCAGATAGCTCCAGGTACTGCTTTACTCATCCACCGGTTTACATTTTCACTATAGTTTACCTTTTAATTTTAATATTGGTATTCTATGTGTGTGTGTCCAGACAGTGGAGGCCTTCCAGACAGGAGCGTGTCTCTCACAGGTTCCCAAGACTCCATACAGTAAGTATCAGACCTTATGAAAATAGGCTCACTTTTGTTTTGTTTATGTTACGTATGATGTTGGTTGCCCTGTGTATTTGTCAAATTTGCCCAAAAAAACCTGGCAAGAACATTGCTTAAAAATTTGATTGTTATCACTGATTTGATGTGACCCTAAGGAGCCAATTAATAAACCATTTTGATAAATGTATCAAATTATTTCAAAGATAATGTCTGGCCAAGCTTTATATAAATTAGGCACTTAGTTTGAAGCCCTACGATGCTATTTGTAAATGGTTAACCTGTACAGACCTTAATTGCTTACTGTCAATGGCCGTTAGATCAGCTTGATTACAACATTTTGTAAAAAGGACGCGGAGTAACTGGTCAGCTCTTCCCTGGATAGGAATGCCCGGAGGCTTTTGGAAGAGATCGTGTCTCGAGGGAGGGGTACGCCACCTTCTTCTTATCACGAGTCCACCAACGGGCAGAGCGGCACGGTGCACGAGATGATGATCCCAGCAGGCAAGGCTGGGCTGGTCATTGGAAAGGGAGGAGAGACTATCAAACAGCTGCAGGTAAACTGCATTTTAGAAACTGTAACTACATTAAAGCACACGTCCAGTATTCAATCATGATAATGCACAATCGCGTGAAATCCAGGAGCGTGCAGGGGTGAAGATGATTCTGATCCAGGATGTCACTCAGGGACCCAACGTCGACAAGCCCCTACGCATCATCGGAGATCCCTACAAAGTCCAAGTACATTTATATAATCTTCTCATAAATGTCAACCTAAATCTGTTGTGTCCAGTTGCCATGTAATGTCATCATCGTGTTTTCCTTTTCAGCAAGCCCAGGAGATGGTGCAGGACATTCTGAGGGAGAGGGACCACGGTGGCTTCAATGAAAGAAATGACTTCAGCGCCCGGATGGGAGGAGGCATGGATGTGAGTTTGTGTGAGACGGAGCAAAATAAGAAGTGGGATAAGTTGCCTTTGAACCAAATTGGTTTTAAAAAACGTCTGTTTTCCACATAGATTCCTATACCGAGACACTCAGTCGGTGTGGTTATCGGGCGCAATGGAGAGATGATCAAGAAAATCCAGAATGATGCCGGAGTTAGGATACAGTTCAAACAAGGTAGGAGTCAGGCCTTGAATTGACTTTAATGATTAATATGTTGATGTTGCCTTAACCGCACATAAACGTTCAAATCCATGTCAAGAGAACATGAAAGTTTGATGCCGATTCATAAAAAAGGCACCTTTTTGGCTCTCATTGTCCCTATACTTTTTTGTCTTCTAACGAATGATAAATGTAAATGAAAGACGTAGTGTCTTTATTTCACCAGAGCAAATACCTTGTCCCTTTTCTGTAAAAAGGGTTTACAGACAGCTGCTTGCATTGTGATGTTGCCCAATATCTGCTGAATCAGGCAAATCTCTCACTTTGGTTGCAAATCTGGTGTCATGTTGCTCTCTCTTTTTTATTGACTTAACATCCATTATTGTGTTGAACTGATTTTTCAATAATAGAGCAGGTAGCCTTTACCTGGCCTGTGTGAGGTTTTGAGTTGAGGCACTTAAATGGACCCTTCCACATAGGTCATTTGATACAAACAAAGAAAAGAATACAGCTAAATGCAGATTTCAATCTTTCCTACAGATGATGGGACTGGTCCAGATAAGATCGCACACATCAGTGGCCCCCCTGACTGCTGCGACCACGCTTCTCAGATCATCAACGACCTGCTGCAGAGCATCAGGGTCCGGGATGAGGGACAGGGGGTAAATGTAATAAAGTATATTCCCAATCAATTGTGCATAATAGTAAACGTATGGCAGCAAGATGTAATAATCCTTAAGCATGCTTGCTAAAATACTGAGGCTTTCTCTCCGCTCCAACCACAGGGTCCCCCAGGTCCTCCAGGCATGCCTGCAGGCAACAGGGGTCGAGGTGGGGGTCAAGGCGGCTGGGGGCCCCCTGGAGGGGAAATGACCTTCTCTATTCCTGCCCACAAGTGTGGACTTGTGATTGGCCGGGGAGGAGAGAACGTTAAATCCATCAACCAGCAGACAGGGGCCTTTGTAGAAATCTGCCGACAACCGCCCCCCAACGGAGACCCCAACTTCAAGATCTTTATCATCCGGGGCTCGCCGCAGCAGATCGACCACGCCAAGCAGCTCATCGAGGAGAAGATTGAGGTACTTTCTATTTTAATTCGTACTTACATAAAGGTAAATATGTCGGTTCTTCTTCATTTGATGTGGGATTAATTAACATGTTTCAGATCCCCCTGTGTCCTGTGGGCCCGGGACCAGGTGGACCAGGTCCTGGAGGTCCAATGGGTCCCTACAACCCTGACCCATACAACCCTGGACCGCCTGGGGGGCCCGGACCACCACAGTGAGTAACAAGGACTATCATACAACTGTTTGTAAAGCTTCAGATATTAAAGTGGACCTATCATGCTATATTTGAATAATATAGTGTAGGACCATACCTATATAAGGCATATTTATACTTTTTATTTTTCAAAATACCAAACAGATCATGCATTTTAGCCATTCCTCATTTCGCTCAATTTAACACTGTCTTTGCATGGGCTGATTCTGTGAGAACAGCACCATCTACAGGCCTGGCATATGTACTACAGCGTCTCCAGCGCTTTCGAACGGCAATGTCCGTGGCTGTCTCCTCCTGATTGGTGGAGTTGGCCCAATAGCCGTAGCGCCACTTCTGTGACGTCATAGAAGTTTTCAAATCTGGATCAGTCTGTATCAGATCCGTTGCAGCCCCTTTTTAAGAGATTTGGGTATGGAGGAAAATAGAGAGGGTTGTGTTTTCTGACACTTGGTGAGTTCCCCGGAACACCGGGGACACATATTCATGTATAAAAGACGTACAAAAGTGCATTTTGCATGATAGGTCACTTTTAAAGTTCTCCGTAGCTACATGATTCTGTTCACTGGATTACAGAGACGCCATGTATGAGATCAGGGCACATCATTCTGAAGGGGAAAATAAGCGAGGGGGCATGTTACCGGACTGAGAAGTAGCTGATTTTTATTCTGCAGCTGCATAAGAGATCAGTGGTGGTTTTATGTGCTGAAATCTCATGAATTAACCATTTTTGCTATTTGTTTAGCAGCCACCAAAGGCTAATGTTGTGGCTTCCTCTTTAACTTGTTTTAATAAATTGTTGATGGAAAATATAACCTGAGAAAAAACATTTTGGTCAGAAGACTTAGTTTTCTTCTAAATTCAATAGTTTGCATAGTTGCATTTCAGAGTATCATTTGTTTCCCTATCATGTCATAGTGATGCCAACCATTGCTCTTCTCCTCAGTGGTGGTCCTCACCAGTACCCCCCTCAGGGCTGGAGCAACACCTACCAGCAGTGGCAGCCCCAGGCCCCCCATGACCCCAGTGAGTCACCGTTGACTTCACTGCCTCTCCTGGTTTTGGGGGATCAATGTTTATTTGATGCTCTTTTTAGCATGTTGGCTGCTACAGTGCTTTCATCCCAGGCTATACGTTTTAACCGTCCTATTTTCAGATGAGTAATGCCTTTTTGTTTTCTAAGTCTAGGAAGGTGAACAGGAATACTGATGGTAATGTTGTGATGAGATGTCTTGACGTTGAGCAGCAGCTAACCGTGTCTCTGTTTCCCCCCTGGTCTCCAAGCCCGGTCTCCAGGCCAGTAGCAGGACCTCACCCCCTCCACCCTGCATCTTTTCTAGGCATGGCAGCAGCCAATGACCCCAACGCAGCCTGGGCGGCCTACTACGCTCAGTACTACCATCAGCCGCCACGGGGGGGTCCAGCCCAGAACCCCGCTACCCCGGCAGGAGGAGGGGCCCAACCTTCAGGGGAGCAGACCCAGCCTGCAGACCAGCCAGACTACAGCAAGGCCTGGGAGGAGTACTACAAGCAGATGGGTGAGGCCGCAGAACAACTCCCTCTGGAGCTTTACCTGCTTTTCTATTGTTGCTGAAATGTTCTGCTGCTTTAAACCAGTCATCATCAACTTCAGCCGGGAGACTAAATACATAATGTTAATGGGTTTTATGTAACCCATACAACTTAGAAGGAATTCATTTTGTTGTGGATGATTGACCAACACCAAATGTGGGTGTTTGACCCATTTTAACATTTGTCACTAAGCTAAGCGATAAGCGACTAGCCCAGACAACCCATAGCAGTAGTCCGGCCAAGGCAAGTGCGATCTTTTAGAACTAATGCAGGTCAAACTCAGCTCTCATTTTTTTCTCATTTCTTCACATGCTCAAATGGAACTTTTTAGCTAACTCACTTTGGTTAAACAGTGAAAATATTAAACATTAATAGAATAAATCTGAATCTTATTCTTGGATAAATGTAGTTGATAATATCCCCCAAAACAATTGGTTGTTCGGCAGTGACATACAAAATACGAGATAAAACCACAAAAGCACATAAACACATCGTAAAAATAACAATAAACTAAAATAATATCCATGACATCCATTTTATTTTTGAAAATGAAATAATTTATAATCTATGTATAATGTAAAAAAAAAATGTTGGTTCATCTTTTGCAATATTTTATATATTACATTTCTGATTTGTGTTGCTTAGCATTAGTGTGCATCGTGTTGGTTTCACTTAAACATCAAAACCTGATCAGAGATAGTACGTGTTGATTTGTTGTTTCCCCAGGTGAACTTGTTCTTAAAGTGGAAGTGACTGTTATGGTGATGTCTCTTTTATCCCTCCTCCAGGCCAGGCAGCAGGCGGCTCTGCCCCTGCACCTGCTGCACCTGGAGAAGCAGCGGGGGGGGCAGCGTCCAAAGCGGGGGGGGAGCCGGACTACAGCGCTGCCTGGGCGGAGTACTACCGGCTGCAGGCGTCGTACTACGGACCGACCGGACAGGCGGCCGGACAGCCAGCCGCTCCACAGCAGGGACAGGTCGGTACAGAGCGAGGCTTTCGTCCTGTTTCTGTGGACCCTGCATCTGACACCGAGGTTTGCTTTCAATCCATCTGGAGTAAATACATTATTTTCTAAAATAAAACGGATGTGCTTCCTTTCAACTGTTTGTATTTTAGACGCAGTGATGGCAGAAGGAATCAGGAAGACAGGATGAAGAAGACGACCGCGAATTTAAGTCCAGGATCCAGCCTGTTTATCTTTTATTTAGAGTGGAAGTGAAACCCTTCCTCACCGCCGAACCACCCGTGGAAACTTTCCAAATGAACATTGTCAACTGAACAAGCTTTCTAGTGCTTTGCAGCTGAGGCAAAGGACTGATATCCCGCCACACAGGTTCTCAATACCTTTAAATATATTTTATGAATGCCCTTATATATATGGAAGCCTTGATATGCTTTCTTTACTGCAGAGGAGTTGCTTTTAAATATATATAATCATCCTCGTCTCCCTAGCTATCAGGTCTTATATCTGATTGTGTATCAGGTAATAATACATCATTCATCCCTTTTTAAAGCTCATTTGATTTGCCCATTCTTTTAAATTGTATTCTTTTACTCTAATCTTTTGACTTGGCTAAGACTTTTGTGGTATTTCTATGGTATTATTTTTCATTTGCTTATGAATGTGTTCATATGCAGCATTTTGTATAGCAAGTGTACAAATAGATTTGTAGTGTTGATTGGTGCATGTGGACTCACTTTTCATTGCTGAAAGCTGCTAGAGATAGATGATGAAAACACCCCCCCTTTATCTGCTAAGGACATGCAAGTTATGTGAAATAGTTTTAAATAGGGAGCCTCGATGACGGGTACTAGACTTAGTCCTGGAGTCCTTGAAGTGTGAAGGACAACGTTGTATAATGGCTCATAGGTTGCAGGATTTATGAGCCGCACATCAGGTTATGCATCTTTGTTATGGCCTTCCCATTAACTTCCCTGCCATTAACACCCACCAGACCTTTTATAACTAACATACTGGGAGTGGGCATTCACCTTGAGGCAACTGCATACCTCATCCTAATTTGGAGTTTCTGACACCCTCTGTAGTTTTCATGTATTCTAAAATAGTGTTATGTAAGGCTAAATTCACCTCACATTTGCATCATGCTGTGATTTTAATGCACGTTTTATACTTACTTTTTTCATGGATGCCAACGAGTATGTTTAAATATTTGACCCTTCATTGTGCGTAACAGAATGAAATGTAGTCTTCCAATGTGTCTCACTTGAAGATATACATGTACATATATTCAGCAATATAAGGCTGTCGGTTTGGACTTACAGAGATGTATCAGGTATGAATCTTGTATTTTGAATGGCAGCTTTGACGCAGTGTTGATATTGCTAATAGATGACCACCAGCAGCAATACTCTGAATTCAAATGGGGCAGATGTTGATTACTTTAAAGTGTGTGTTGAACATTTTGTTGTCATGTTTTTTACAAACGGTATGCACTTAAAACATTGCCCACTGTTAGCAGATATAACTAAATCACATTTGAGACAAATCACCACTAGATGTCACTGTTAGCTTTTATAAGAATAATCAAGTGTTACTAAATAGATGAAACCCATTTACAGAGGAAAATATTTGAAAGATCTCGTTTTAAACTGAATTTGCTGCATTTTGAGTTTTCACACACTTACAATCAACAACACTTTTGATCTTTTACTGTCTAAGGACATTTGTGTGGTTTCTGTTCCTGTAACTCTTTGCACTTTGTGTGACAGTCTCAGACAGGAAGTCAGTTTATGAAAAAAAAGACTCAGATTTACCGGTAGTAAGGCTGTGGCTGCCTGTCAATGGCTACCACAACTCTATCTCTGAGCCACAAAGCTTATAAAAACTGATGATCTGAGAGATATGACTGTAGTTACTGTTCAACAAAGACACTTTCGTTAAACTAAAGGAAACAATTATCTACAAGAGTGCAATTTTAAAAATTCTTTAATTTATATCTTTAAAATTAAAAACATCTGAATTGCATTCTACCACCTCCAAAGGCACAGTCATACTTATAGCAGACCAAATTCATAAAACACTGCCACTGAACATCTTTTTTTCTCAATTGTTTTGTACATAAGAAACAATGCACTATAAAAATTACTGAACATTTTTCTTACTAAACAATGGCCATTCTATTTGCTGTAGATGATATGTACTCAGCTGTGGTAACGTTAGACTCGTATATAAAGGTTGATGTGCTGGTTTGAGGCTGGCGATGCTTGTCGAAAACATGAACATCGCAGCTATTTAAAGACATTGTATTCATAATTCCAAAAATGACATGTTTACGACAACCAATCATGACGAACAGTGTTTGAGAATATGGATGTTTGAAGCAAAACAAAGCCATCGGCAGGAGGGCGGAAATGCAGCGAGATGAAAGCACAGTGGAGGGAGATGAGTGTCGGTGGGGGACTGTGCAGAAATCAGATCTCACCTCTCACCACAGAGTGGTACGAGATGTTCGTACGACATCTGACAACTTCACCCCACCATTAAAGAAAAACACTTAAGACTTCAAAGAAAGTGGAAAACATTTCAGATAACTGTCTGAGTTTTCAAGACAATAGTCGATATGTGCAAAGAGGCAGGGCCTTAGCCTATTAGTGGAAAAGCCATCAGATATGATAGAGGATCAATAACTAAACTTACAATCACAAATTAAGAAAGCACACAAAGGTTGCTTACAATGTGTGACATCACAGCACCATACACTGCACAAGAGGTTCACTTAGTGACAACAAAATTCAAAATAGTGAATAAATATACATCAGAATATTAGAATATATCAGCGTTCTTACTCAGGCACAGTCCCCCTTAAAACAAAGAAGGATCATTTTAAAACAATGGGAACAAAGCAAAGGTTTGGCACACATAGAAAAGAGAAATAAGGCAGGAGAATTATAAGTCAATGGAAAATGAGGCCATAGAGGAACTTATTGGATGAAAGGAATTAAGTACTTAAAACATATAAATATGACACATACATACAGTACCTCTTCTCATGGAGCCACATGTTCAATAAAAAAAGAGAGGATTTTTTTGCAGCAACTAATGGGAGCCCCGATTCCACAGCCGTAGATTTTTCTATACAAGTGTGAGTAGCAGCTGCGACAGGCACTCCAAGAACACAAGAAGGTTTTTTTCTTTACAGGCAAATTAAATAAAACAGGTACTATTCACACTTCTCCCAAATGAACACCTTAAAAAATATATATATATACACACAGAGGAAACAGTCAACAATTGGCATTACTCACAATCACACAACCAGACACACACCATCATAGAAAAGCATGTTCAGTCAGCCTCCAGAAGCAACAGCAGAGCAGTGTGACCCCCAGTGCTCCAACAGAAATAAACACATCAAACAAATATCCCAACCTCCCGCTGTCTCTCACTGATGTCCCTTTTTACGAACTAAATGTAGCAATCGTTCACTGTTTAAGGTCGGCTTTGCACCCTCCTCCTGTAGAGATTACCTTTACACACGCAAACACACATCACAGTATTTCCAAGACTACTTTGATACGGCAGTGACAGTTTCTGGAGGTGAGCGGATGTTTTGAGTTAGGAGACAGCGAGGCTACAGGTTGCAATGCAATGAGAGAGAACGAAAAAAAACATGCCTGGCAGTTTTACAGGTCAATACAACTGAGGGTTAACACATGCTCTGTGTTACATTCATTTCAATGTGATACAAAAAAAAAATTCCTCATTATCAGAAACTTCCTCAAAATAATACCTACTACCTGAAAAACAATGACAAAGTATATTTAAAAAATGACTTGGTTGAGATAGTATCTCAGAATAATAATTAAGTATTTCACCATAATGACATACTATCGCTAAACACAACAAATGGTATCGCAATACCATGTCATACTATCTCTAATAGTAAGAAACGTCAGAGAAGGATTCTTGTTCTTATTATTATTTGTTATGTTATTATTCTGAGATACCAAGTCATTATTTGGAGATTTTTTTTTGAGAGAGTGACTTTGAGGGTCTTTTTATTTCATCACATTGGCTCTATGGGTTTTGAAGACACGTCCCATTGCGGTGCCAACGATTGTGAATCGGGTCAATGGTGCCAACAGGTGGTTCTGCCATTCAGGCAACAGCAGTACTGAATGTTTTGATTGTGTGTGTGTGTGTGTGTGTGTGTGTGTGTGTGTGGGTGGGGGTGTGTGGGGTGTGTGTGTGTGTGTGTGTGTGTGTGTGTGTGTGTGTGTGTGTGTGTGTGTGTGGGTGTGTGTGTGTGTGTGTGTGTGTGTGTGTGTGTGTGTAACCATTTACAGAATGCAGCAGAAGCGCGCACACACACATTTAGAAGATCTATATACATGTGTGGAGTGTATAAATTAGTGGTTTTTGTACATCTGTGTGTGCTAGTGTGTGCGAGTGTGTGTGCATATTCACTACGATCGGCTCCAGCTAGTTGTGTGACTGTGTGCTCAGTCGTCAGCTGATCCGGTGCTGAACAGGACTCTCTGGTCCATTCGGGCCAGCTTGGCAGGCGGCTCCAGAGACTCGTCTCCTAGCACCCCCCCGTCTGAAGGAAGGGACAGCTCCTGACCTTCATCATCACTCTCCTCCTCCTCTTCCTCTTCCTCTTCTGGGATGGACAAAGGGAATTGAGTTAGTTATTAACACAGCTTGAGATTTGACGTAGGGCTGATCTGAATAGATCAAATGTTTAGGAGCAGTTTTTTTTTTGTATTGGTATTTTGGCACGGTTTCAGATAGAGAGTAGGCAGCTCTAATATTAGTAATTTGCTATTTTTTAACTGTTAATTCAGTGGCGGCATCATAGGGCTGTTTCTGACATGTGTGATTCAAACATTTCAAAAGAGCAGAGCACGTCCAAAAGTTAACATTTATTTAAAAAATAAGGAAGATGTGAAATTCAAAACATGTTTTTTACCAAGACAACTATTATGCTCTAAATATATTGGTTGATGTTTGGACTTTAAAATATCAGAAAGGGAGCATGCCCCTTTATTGCGTTCTAGTAGCAACCGAACTGTAATAAATCAAATAAATATATAAAATATATACTATAAATATTAAAGATGTTGTGTATTTACCTTTGTCAGGATCCAGCTGGTTGAGCCCCCGGCCTAAACTGGCAAACTAATGGCAGAGGGGAAATGTGTTAGTACTATTTACATTAGAATTAGAAGCATCTATTGTCATTATACAAGTACAACGAGAAGAGTAAAGCTACTCCTTTTAAGGTGCCATCAAAACATTCAGAATAGACAACAGACAACAAAGTAGAGATGCTCAATTAATCGTATTTCATTCGCATATATCAATTATTGACCAAAATAATCGAGATTATGATTTTTGCCATAATCGAGCAGCCCTACAACAAAGACATACATAAAATAACAATGAAATAAAGTGCAGGAAATAATTCAATTAGTAGTGTATAGTAAATATGTATGTGTGGATGGTACTTTATGTATATTGAACTTATGTGTTGTTGCACAGGGGAGGAAGACTAGTGCAAGAGTTCAGTGCCATGATTGCTCTGGGTAAGAAACTGTCTTTGAGTCTGTTTGTATTTATTTCATGTTTATGTGTGTGTGCGCTTTGGTACCTCTCCCATGACAGCGATGGGGGTCTCTCCTTTAGCCTGGGCCACTCGGTGCTCTATCAGGTAGTACATGTACTCATCGTACAGCAGGCGGATCAGGTGAAAGGAGCCGAAACTGGCTGCGCTCCTCAGGGTCAGATCTCTGATCACCATGGAGCTGGAGAACAGAGACAGGGGATTTAAGTCATCGGTACATCATATCACTTCTTCTTCTTCTCAACCACCAACGGGAAGTGTGTCTTAGGGTTTCACTATGATAAAGTTCAACGAATAAGAGACGGAGAGGGATAAACAAGTTCTTAACTGCTCTTTTACAACTAATGTTGGAACAATTCATATCCAGTCTTCCCGTATTTGCCAGAAATGCATTCCTACATTGAAGACACAGATTTTTTAGTTTGGACAGACGGGTACAGAGTCGTTATCATCCTACCAAACACGTCACTATCGTAGTTCTTAGTCCACTATCTATCTACAGTACTTATTAAGCTTTACACAAATATATACAAAAACATTTATAGAGCGTGCAGCCAGTGGAATTTAAAATCAAAATACTCTAAACATTCAGGAGCAGATATCGTGAAGTTTTTCATGAAGGTGGTGAAAAGATGGTTAAAAAAATATGTAATTGTTTTTGGACGAGTGGACTGCAGCCCTGCATCTCTCTCTCTCTTTCTGTGCATGTTTTACTTTGAGTCTGGTTTTGGTCACCTGATCACCTCATGACTCCCTACGGCTGATAAATGTGAAAAACAGATTTTCATCTTCAATGAGCAGCAGAGGATTTTGTCACCTACACTACACAAGACAACACAGTGGAATATAAATGTCCAACGTCTCCCACCTGTAAAAGGACCACTTGAGCAGGAAGAGCTTGGCAGCTTTGGGGAAGGCGGGGCTCTGCTGGTATGGCTTCAGGACCTGGGAGACCACCCCGTCCAGCCACGCTGCCCACTGCTCCAGGGAGTTCTGCTGCTGCAGGGTCAGCTTGAAGTCCTGCTCCAACCGCTGCACCACGCGGTCCTCACACCGGCACACCCAGGAAGCCTGCTCCTGCACGGGGGGGCAGAGTGGGGGACACGTTATTGTGCATGGTAGTCACACACCTGGCACTAGTTGTCTTAAGAGAGAAGCAGGGTGACCTGATCTTTCGACTCAGGTTAAAGTCCTTGGGTGTTTCTCAATGTCGAGGACGCTTCCTTGGTAGGACATGTCTTCCGAGTCACTCCTTCAGAAGCGAGGCAAGAATCCTTCCTAGCCTCGGAAAACGAAGAATGGTGGAACAGGCTAACAGGTGTGCGTCATATGCGAGGCCCCGCCTAAAATGGAGCATGATTTCCGCCAAAGATTTTGGAAATTGGTCCGTGCGCAATGCATTGTGGGAATTTTAAGACCGCGGAGGATACACATGTGCAGCCTCGAAATTTCATGCAACGAAGGACGCCGGCCTCGGTAGAATTCCAAGGATCCTGGACATTGGAACAGTCCTTCGGCGGGATTCGATGACGTAGCATCCTTGAAATAGTGGCTCTGGAGGAGCCTTCCTCGACATTGAGAAACACCCCTACGGTAAAGAAATACACTCTCTGCCTGACGGTATCATACAAACATTACATGTTATATGTTCTTGCCTTTTTCCGATCAACTTTAAGCCAATTTTACACAATAAGAGACAGTTTGATCATCTTCACCTGCCTTTGACAAATCATGTCCAGTACATATATAGATATTCATTTATTTTTCTTACCTATTTTTTTATTCCTTTATTTTTGTTGATTGTGTTTCAGCTCAATTTTGTGTTCTTACTGTTGTCATTTTTTATTTGAATTATGTAACCTTATATTTGTTTTTGTACCTCTACTATCACATTTCCCCTTTTTTCACTATCTGGATTTGTATGCATTCTTTTGAAACTAAATCACTTCCAGGTTCAGGGTTCTGTTTCAACACATGTGAGCTCCATTCACTGGAGACAGGAGAAAGACTTCTGAGAAAAAGCTTACATTTCCTGGGGTGGGGAGTTGCAGGAAACCCAGACTTAGGTAAACACCCACAAAACCTCAAGCTGCTACAGAAACATGCAATCAAAAGCAGGGAAACAAACACCGACATTTCTATGAGGTGACATGAACGCAGCAGAGACTAAACCAACCTGGACGTTAGCAAAGTCCACGCGGTTGAGGTCGGAGAGCATCTGGTTGATCTGGGCCGTGTTCTGCAGCACGGCGCGGGCCGCCTGGGCCAGGTGGTTCAGACTGGTGTAGCGACGCAGCGTCTGGGCAAACGCATTGGCTGAGGTCACCTGAGAGGTCACAAGGAGAGGAGGATGAAAGGACAGCAAATTAATACTTTACAAAAAGCCACGGACACACATGAATATCTCTAGAAAAACCTAGAGGATGTTTGTTCAGCTCTGGCGTTGATGAGTAGACGGGGCATTTAATACGAACATGTCATCATAATCAAATAATCAAATGTAACAGCCCTATATTTCACCTTGCATCTTCACTTTATCACAAGCATTGTCTCATTAATGAATGAGAAAAAAGGGAATGATGGGACTTCCTTCATAAGAGTTAGTTGTTTTTAATAGACTATTTTCTTCTCATGATAATTTAAATAATTTCCCTGGAAATGTAACAACATATTTTTTCATCAAAGCTGCACCACAGAGCAAATGATATGTTGTGTAAAATCAGCTGTAGCCTTTTCACAAAACGGAAAACGGATGCATTTCCAAAAGCTTGCTCAATTGTATAACAAACAGTTTCTTCAGCAACTGCAAGCCAACTCAATTATACCTTGATGCGGACCATTTCTTCTGGGATGTTCATCATGGCGTTGGTCAGCCAGCTCTCCAGGCTCTTGGCAAAGTTGCGGATGGCTTGAGTTAAGGCACCTAGGGGCAGCGAGAGAGAAAGGGGGTAATAGACTTTCATTCTTATCCATTTATTTGATCTTCCCTGAGGATGTACCAGGAAAAAAGATGTTGGTATTACAGAGTTCATCAAGTAAGGTAGGCTGTGGCTCAGTGGATAGTGTGCTGGACTTCGAATCAGGTGATAGCAAGTTCGAGTCCCACTGCAGTCAGCATGTCGTTGAAGACACTTCACCCCAAATTGCTCCTGTGGGGATTGCCCACGGTACTGAATGTATGTAAGTCGCTTTGGATAAAAGCGTCTAACAAATGACATGTAATGTAATTCAAATTGAAACCGAAAGAAGTCATTAACACCTCTGACTCACAGAGGAGTTGATATCTAATCAGGGAAAAAAAGACGTGCTCTACTAAAGAGCCAGGTCATCATTCCAATGTCTAATCCAGAAACAATAATGTTGTCACAGAAATGTAGTATTTTCTAATATTGACTCCAAATAGCTGAATATGGCACTGTGGGTAAATGTAGTTCTGTACAGGCATCTACTGAAGGTTAGGATCTTTCATTAATCTGGCAATTACATTGTCTGGCTGGCAGAGAACTATCTGCTCCATAGCTTCTCTAGGACTTCCAATCACTCTGTACATTTGACATTTATACTCAATTTAATATTTAATATTCCATGCCTCACATACTTATGTATACATAATAACTTGCTTTATATTTTGTTACTGTACATTTGTAATTCAACATGTATATTTTCTACTTTCTTGTTTATTTCTAGTCTTTTAATTTGTATTGTACAATGTCATGTCTTTTTATGCTGCTGCAACACAAAATAAATCCCAAATTGGGATCAATAAATTATTCTTATCTTATCTTAAATCTAAGGAAATATTTACTATAACAAACGTTTTCTGTGCAGTCACTTTTGTGGTTAAACTATGATCATATGATATTTTGGGACATGCATATACCACTACACCGTGTTGAATTTGACCGTGCAAGTAGGGCTGCTCGATTATGGCAAAAATCATAATCTCGATTATTTGGGTCAATAATTGATATCACGATTATTAAAAACGATTATCCATTTACTTTGAAAACAAAATGTGAACAGCATGTTTTTAACAGTTGATTACCCTGAACTATATATGTATAATTCAACTGATTTAAAAAAATAAAAAATAAAAATACCGTAATTTTCGGACTATAAGGCGCAGCAGCGGCACACCACTCTCGGTTCCACTTTTACTTTTGCGCGCTACCTGTCTCACTCTTTTCCGGCCTCCAGCTTTTCCTGCTGGAACCCGCCGCTTAAAGGTGGGGGTCCGCGGACCGGCCATAGAGCCCATAGAGTTAAAGGTGTTGGCCGTTAGCTGTAAAAATCCATAGATTAGCCGCACCGTTATATAAACCGCAGCGTCGAAAAATAGGGAAAAAGGCGCGGTTTATAGTCCGAAAATTACGGTAATCGTTTTATTTAGATTATGTTGTTTTCATAATCGTTGCAAGCCAAAATCATAATTGCGATTAAAATACGATTAATTGAGCAGCCCTACGTGCATGACTATCATTCCTGCAGAGCCTTACTGGGGATGGGCCTGAGGACGTCGGGGATGAGGATCTCCACCAGGGCCTGGTACAGGCTGTTGTCACAGTCCCGGCTCCAGCGCAGCACCGGGTCGTACTTACACAGCACCACCAGGCAGGACTTAGGCAGCCGCTTCTCAGACTCGTCATGACTGCCAACACACACATATTCCAGTTTAAGTTATCAGCATGCTGTATAACATGGTACTGCTTTTGTTTTGGACTAAAATGTTTGTCTTGAGCACTCACACAGCCAACGTGGCGTCTCCCGCCTGACTCTGGCTGAACCTCCAGAAGGTTTTCCACAGAGTTTCCACCAGAGTGAACTGCAGGTTGACCATCACATCAAGAATAGCCTAAAAAACCAAAGAGGAAACACGCTGCACGTCAGTGACTGCAAATACATGACTGAGCACAAACAGATGATCACAGGATCAGTTGGAAAGACACAGAAAGACGAAATATATATATTTATTTTCTCCTCATAGCATTGTGAAGCACCTTGAGATGATGTTGTTTTAAAAGTGTGTTATATAAATTAAATGTATTATTATTATATATATGTATACATGTTTTTTTATACATATGTTTTTATACCGTTTCCCGATCTCTCTGTCTGTACACACAAACTTAGATTGACAATAAAGTTGACTTTGACTTATTAGTATAATTATTACAATGTATTAACTACCTAACATCTCTTGTCTCATTTCAATCTAATTATCGGAATAAACTGCAAACGTCCCTCAACCTAGAGTCTTGCATTTTAAAGTGTCCATGTTTCTTGTACGTTTTTTAATTCCTTATGATAGTGTAGTTGCGTTGTTTCTGTTATTATGTTTGTGTTCTTGTGAATGTTTGCTTTCCACGTCTTTCTTGGAAAAGAGATCTTAATCTCAATAAGACGGCTTGAATAAATAAAGATACAAATAAATGAATAGACCGTACTTAATAATATTGGGTATTTTTGAACCTATCTTCTTCCTCAGCTGTCTAACAACATGTCCTTTCATGTTCCAGTTCCTACAGTCCTACCTCAGAGGTTACAGTAGGTCGTTTCACTTAAAGTAGTCCTCCACAATCTCACAAACATCTAGATGAGCGGGAAACTCATAAATACTCAATGGGAGCTTCATTCAGTTACCTCACAGTGCTCTCTGTACAGCAGCTGAAAGCTCTTGATGTGCTCCAGCTCGATTCCCTCAGGCAGAGACTTCCCCTGCAGGTCGATGTCTGGGAACTCTGGGAGGGCTCGGGATGCATCTGGAACAAAAGAGCACTGGATACTCAAAGAGAAATCACATCAGAGCAGTAAATAATACTGTCTTATATGTCCTTATTGTACTTCCAGCTCATGTATTTGTTCGTGCACTCACCTAGGAACTGCTGGTACTGCTGGACCTGGGTGCTGATGTCCACCTGGCCAGCCCCCTGCTGCTGCTGCTGCTGCTGCTGGCCGGCTCCTGCTGCCGCGCCGTTAGTCATTCCCTCGACTTTATGCACAGGCTTCAACCTGATAGGTACGAACATAAAGTGAATAGGATGAGGCAGATCAAATATTCTGATCTACACAAAGATGATGAATACCAAAGCCAAACAGACAGAGGAAAAAATAAATGTACAAAGGAAATTGATTCATGTGTAAAAATGATAGATGGATGGAAATGGTTACGGTGGTGAAATAATAATCGGAAGATGCCAAAGTATGGGAGACTTAAACTTGTGTGGTTCCAGAAGCAGTCTGGTTGTCTATGAGAAAATGATCCGACTTCTGCTTGGTTTGTTACCTAAATTACATTTTTTCTGGATTAGTTTCTGGTAGGGATGTAACGATACCAAAAACTCACGGTACGATAATATCGCGATAAAAAGTCCACGGTACGATATTCATCACGATATTGGAAAATAAAGAAAAATAATGTGATTGAATTTTTTATCTTTATTGAATAATACATCTGATTTGTACAGCATTTTAGTAAGATAGTAGTATTTTTAAAGTGTCAACAATATAATAATCAGACCCTGCAATAGAATAAATCAAGTTTCACTTTAGTTTTTCAAGTAACTCAACTCTAACTCACTAACTCACTCACTCAGCATCATCAAGGTTATCTTTTAGGAATATGAGCATGTCCACATTTCCAGGTAGAAGCTTGGTTGTTTGGGCGTTTACAATATCCCCTGCTGTGGAAAAAACTCTCTTGCTTGGTACTGATGTTGCTGGGACAGAGAAATATGCTTTGGCCATGGGTGAAAGCAGTGGAGTACCAAGCAAGAGAGTTTTTTCCACAGCAGGGGATATTGTAAACGCCCNGATTAAAGCCAGTAATGTGACGGACCAACCTGTTATGGTTTAAGAATAATCAAATGACACCTCTCAAAATGGCTAATCACATTAAAAAATAAAAATAATTGAGATGTGAAGCAATACCGTAATCTTCACGGTGTTTTGTTTTGAACTTTGCGGTGGCATTTGCTCCGGGCCCGGCTGCCGTCACGGCTCTTATTCGCACCTCATAGTCCTGCTCTGGAGTGAGATTCTCCAGCTTATAAGTATTTTTATGCTGTGGAGATGCACTCGCATTGTGCACTAGAAAAGAAAAATCATTTGAGGTAAAGTTAGTGACCAGAAAATCACCAAAGTATATCATTACTCTAGCATGATTAATTATATTTATTTTAATATATTCATCATTATTTTATACATTCAAATTCATTTTGTAATGCCCCACATAAAACAGTTTAACAGAACCAATTCAAGAGTTAGGATCGATTTTGACATTCAACTCATCACTTTAACAATGCTAACATGCTGATATTGTTTAGCATTTTCCACATTTAGTAAAGCGGGCTAACAGTTGCACTTAGCACAGTAGTGCAGCTATGGCAGGTGGGGGTGTCATTAGTGTTTCAGGTATGTAGCCATAAACCACATTTTGGCAACTTATATTGCTAGATGAAACGTTGTTTTTTGAAAATGAATGTGTGCATTGCACTCCATCAAATCATTGTTCTTGGCAAACATCACTGGAGATTCACGCTTTTACCCTTTGTTATATATTATTGCTGTGTAGCCTACCGGTTTGTATGTGTACTCCACTGTATACAAATATTTGGTAGTGCAGGATCACCCCACGCTGTTTGGATAGAGGAACAGACTCCCAAAACAAGGTCACTTGAGTGGCAGCAATCGAGAACACCTTAAATGATGGCACTGCGGAGGGGGCTGAAATTACACAGAGAGAAGTACATGATAGTTACAAATCCAGTGTATTTGATGAGAAGAGACAACATGTTTTATTGAAATAAACTGTAATATTTAAATAAAGACAGCTGAAAACAATGCTAAAATACTTACATCCTTCAAGTGAATATCGAATAACGGATGAAATGTGATGGACTTCACTGCCATGTGATAAAGTGAACAGTGACACTTGGTACGGGGTGTACTTTTTATATTGACCTGCAGATGGAGACACACACAAGAGTTCAACAGGCAATCATAGAGTGGTGATTATCATTGAGAGGTGGATAAGCGACAACATTTTTTCTTCAATTAAGATCATCAAGTAAAAGTTGATTGCTAAATGTAATGGCTGTAGAATAATTATACCATGTGCATTTAGATTGGCTCTATATAAGCCGCGCTTTACAACACAATCCTGTCAGCCACCCGGTCATGATCCCCTTCTCACAATAAAAGCCCTGGTCATACAAGCTAAATCTCTGCTTACCAGAGAGTTTGCAACGAGGCAACTCAGCAAATTGCCACAGTAGATATCCCAATGCAAGGGAACAACCAGAGGAATGTTAACAAGCCTGCTTATTAATGCTACTAGTATTTTAGCAGGGGGATTTAGTACTTTGGGATCTTTACAGATGTTCCTTGATTTGGACAGTAACAGCAGCCATGTTGTTACAGATACAGTGGAGGAAATAAATATTTGATCCCCTGCAGATTTGGTAAGTTTACCCACTTACAAATAAATTAACGGTCTGTATTTGTAATGGTAGGTTTATATAACCAGTGAGAGTTAGAATATCAAAAACAAAACCAGATATTGACATTATATAAAAGATAGAACTTGATTTGCATTTAACTGTGGGAAATAAGTATTTGATCCCCTTGTGACCGACAATAATTCTGGCTCCAACAGACCGGTTACATAAGTCCTCTTCTTTTAAAAAAGTACTCCTAATATCAACTTGTTGCCTGTATAAAAGACACCTGTCCACAGAATCAATCAATCAGATTCCAACCTCTCCACCATGGGCAAGACTAAAGAGCTGTCTAAGGACCTCAGGGACATCATTTAAACCTGCACAAGGCTGGGATCGGCTACACGACCATCAGAAAGCAGCTTGGTGAGAAGGAGACAACTGTTGGGGCGATTATTCAGAATAATAATGTGTGTGTTTCTAAATGGAAGTAACACAAAATGAGCATCAATTGCCCTCGGTCTGGGGCTCCACACAAGATCTCGCCCCGTGGGGTATTGATGATCATGAGAAAGGTGAGGTATCAGCTTAGAACTGCACAGGAGGATCTCAAGGCAGCTGGGACCACAGTGACCAAGAAAACTATTGGTAACACACTACACCATAATGGATGAAATCCTGCAGCGCCGCACGCAAGGTCCCCCTCCTCAAGAAGGCAGATAGAAGGCCCATCTGAAGTTTGCCAATGAACATCTGAAGGATTCAGAGAAGGCTTGGGAAAAGATGATGTGGTCAGATGAAACACAAATGTTGATCTTTGGCATCAACTCGACCCGCCGTGTTTGGAGGAATAGAAATGCTGACTATAACCCCCAGCACACCATCCCCACGTCAAGCATGGAGGTGGAAACATCATGCTTTGGGGGTGTTTCTCTGCTAAAGGGACAGGAAGACTTCCCTCATCGAGGAGAGGATGTCCGGGGTCATGTACCGTACTCAGCCAGGACACTGAAAACGGGTCATGGATGGGTCTTCCAGCAGGACGATAAACCTGAACATACGGACAAGGCAGCACAGGAGTAGCTAAAGAAGAAGTACATGTAGGTGATGGAGGGGCCTAGCCAGTCCCCGGACCGTAATCCCATAGAAAATCTGTGGAGGGATCTGAAGTTTCGAGAGGCCAAGCATCAGCCCTAAAAACCTGAAGGATTTGGAGAGGATCTTCAGAGAGGAGTGGACCACAATCCTCCCTGAGATGACCTCTGTGAGTCCAACAAGGGTTTCTCCACCAAGTACTAAGACATGTTTTGTGAGGGGATCAAATACTTATTTCCCACAGTTAAATGCAAATACATTTTTATCTTTTATATAACGTCATTTTCTGGATTTTCTTTTTGATATTCTTACTCTCACTGTTTATATAAACCTATCATTAAAATGACAGACTGTTCATTTCTTTGTAAGTGGGTAAACTTACAAAATATGCAGGGGATCAAATATTAAACTTATTTCCTCCAGTGTATATATAAAAACAAATAGATTCATCTTTATGATCAAATAAAAATCAATATTTGTTTGGAAACAAATGCAGTTTGATTGCAGCACAAAGAATACTACTTTGAAGTGTATTTCTACTTTAAATGAATGGTCTGTATTGCTTTCCAGGGCTTCTCAATCAGACGTTTGAAAGATCGAGGCAGCATTGTTGCATGTTGTATTACTATAAACATATCCAAAATAAACTGACCTTTAAAAAGGGCTGTTGTTTGGTTTGTGGTAGCTTTGACCCAATCAAATCCTTGGCCTGGAGGACAGCCAGCTTGTTTGTATTGCACCACATGTTCCTTCAGGTTGTCTGAGGGCTGAGAGGGTGAATCCCAGGATACAGTGAGATTCTCTTCATTCATCTCAACGTGAATAGCTTGATATGTTTTCTCTTTACCTTAGAAAGACACAAATGCTTTGTTATTTGATTTTGATAATACAAATATTCTTTCAATTACCTTATTTTACAAAGCTGCTCAAAGTGAATTTTACTGAAGAACCAAAAACAGCCTAGATTTAATTGAGAAATGTTTAAGATATTTTATATATTGTGTCAATTATTCCATATTTGAAAAACTGACTTGTTTTGATCTTACAATAAATGACCTTTGATGATATGCATCTACTTTTAGCACATATTCTATCAAAGTTACATACTTTTCATTCTAATTATGGCTTGAAACATTCGAGTGTGTAGTGCGTTTCAACAGAAAATTATATAGATTCTGTTTATGCGAGAGATGACTAGATTTAAAAGAGATTGGCAAGAATTGCTGATTATGAGACGAAAGCAAAATGGACTTACTCAACTGTCAGTAAGGAGCGCTAAGCCGACGTGTTAAAAACTCAAGCGTTAGTTAAATAATAATTAAAGATGGCTAGTGACAGTAATGTTTTAGTTGTTTTATCAAGCCTTCAAAAAATATGAAATAGGAAAGGTGAGTATGGTTTACATTTGTGATAAACAATATTATTTAACTGTAGTTCGGACCGTTAATCACAGTGATGTGATGTACACTGTGCATCTATATACTACTGCTAATGGGATTCTAAATCATCACATTTCTGCAGTATGCAGTACATGCTTATTGAGTATGAAGTATGCAGTATGTCAACAGTGATTTCAAACACAGCCACAGTATGGGAGATCAAAAGATACCTGGTATCGGCAAAGTGAGGTAAGACGGCACCGTGGCCCCCTGAGCATTGTAGGCAGATACACTGACTGAGGATACGTCCTTTAGAGAGGACGTGAGGTGGCATTGTATCTCCTCACACACCAATAAGCCCTTTGGCTCAGCTGTAGACACATTCAGGAACACCAGAGTGCCGTTGTAAGACAGTCTGGCTTCATATCCCAGAATTAGACCACAAGTCGGAGGAAGTTTCTTGATAGGGCGTGGAGAAAGACAGGTTAGCCACAGAGAGTCTGGATACAGTGAGCCTGTGGTTCTTTATTTCAGTGAGAGAATAATGATTGTATGTAATTGTTTACCTACCTTCCAGGTCAAAGCACAGACAGAGCCTTGCTGAGTTATGCCACAGTCCTGCCATAGATCCAGCACTCCAACAGGGGCTAAAGAAGGGAGGACCAAATAAGAGACCAGAAAGAAAATTACAAAATTAAAACCTAGTGCAGGTTTTCTGAATTCCTTGGTTCAGTTTTTGCAGGTAAAATGTTAATTTTGTTAAGTAGGGGGGATGATACCGGTGGAGTAAATTAGAGGAGACCTCTTTGTTTGATCTTTGCATTATAACTGTCTCCATTAAACACATAAGTAAATATCTGTTAAGTGAATGTCTTCCAATTGGTTCACTCAAGCCGCTGCAAGAAACAACACAACTTTACGGTTTCATAACTGTATCTTACACAGTCACAACACCTGAACAATTACTCAAAACCCCTTCTGTGGTAGTTTCAGCTACAGTAAGTGTTTACAGGAGTACATTTTGTGATGATGACACACAAACAAAGACTAAAGTTAAAAAAACAATACCATCATCAGCAGTACTTTGTGCAATGACAATAAAGTTGAATCTAATCTAATCTAACAATCTTCTAATCTTAACGCCTCAGAAAAAAAAAATGTTATTCACAAAATGTCAAACTGTTTTTTAACTCAACAGTAGAACAAAAACAAAAACAAACTGGACATAATGGACCCACCGGTCTCTGTGCTTCGTAATCTCTGGATTGCACTCCAGTCGCTCTTCAAGCCTTTGCCACAGGAACAACAAACTTGAAGTTCATAGACAGTGCTGGGCTGGGGATCGTCCATTGTATAGCTGAGATCATTCTCATCCTCATCCTGTGCAGAGAGAGGGGGGGGGGGAGTTTAAGCATTCATTCAGTTGACATAGCTTAAGTCAATCGACAATTCCAAATGTTTGAGGTGAAGAAAAGGAAACTAGTGAAAGATAAAACCTAAACCAGACACCTCATGCCAGTCTTGTTCTGCCTCGGTCCGATATCGGACATCACAATGTCTCAAAGAGAGCTGCTCATCACAGGTGAAAGTCCAGTCAATTTTGAAGGACTCTTGATGCGATGCAACTTTTGGAGGGGGCAGCTTGCCTAGAAAAAAAGACATATACACAAAAACAATCCAATATGAAGTATCACTTCAATCTAAATCAGTCATTTCAAGATTAATATTAGGAGTGACGAAAGTCAGTACCAACTTTTCCCCCATAAATAGGTAAACAATGGTCATAATGGTTGGCATCAAATACTATTATTATTATAATTATTATTATTACTGCTGATAGTGGCCTTGTCTGTATTCAAACACGAGAACGTTCAAGACTGACTCACGGATATTTTCAGTATTGAGTATTGAGTATGGAGATTTAGCAGAACCATACTGGTTCTTAGCCTGGACCCAAACACGAAGTTTCCCGTGGTTGTATTGTTCGCGATAGATAATCCAATCCGAAGTGTTAGCACTGATCCCCTGCCTCTCCCTGGAAAAGAGGAAAAGACAAGAGGTTTAAAACACATTTTATCAAAAGTTTTAAAGTTGTCAGATGACATGACATTGAATATGTTAGTTTATGTTTACTCGCTATCTGCTGGCTCCCAGTGCAGGCTGTACTCTGTGGAGTTCCGAGGGTCCAGCCCGGGATTACAGTGGATATCTACGCAATTGTTTTTCTCACCACATGGGATAGAGCACTCAGGAGGAGAGGGAGCAACAGGAGGACCTGTAAGAATAAACAGGATAAGGGATACAACCAAAAGTGAAAAACTCTGTTCAAAATATATTCCTATACAAATATACAAATATCTCATTTTGAAACGAAAAGTGTTTCAACTGAAAAGTGTTTTAACTGAAACTGACCATTATCATTTTCACAAAAGTAGGAGCTGTTGAATTAGGCTGTGTTTGGTTAGTGTATGAGAAAAAATAGGAACGTAGAACTCCAACCATGTCATCAGAAAGACAGGTCCTTCATTATTCTTAAACACCACTTAACACGTGTTGTATGAAGTGCTCCTTAAACATTATACTGTCCTGAACAATACATGCCATGCCAAAATGGAAGTACCAGTCACAATAGGGGAATATACTGTGACAGACTTCCAGGATATCGTGAGTAAAAATTTCATTTTCAAAGAAACATTCAAATAAAAACAGTTCAAGCTTTTTAAAAAACTCTCCATAGTTCATTCCAGTCAAAACATCCAGTATATATTTACTGTCAGTTTGAGCACTTTTACCAGTGCAATTTAAATATGAATTCTTATTACTATTCATTAGTGTTTTCGTCAGATAGTTTTAATTTTCAAAACAGTAAAGAGATGGCCAGTGAATAGCTGATAGAGAATATAAGAAAGCACCAGAAAGCAACATGTGAATGTTCTTCACCACAAGAAAAGTACAGAGATCTAAACACTCTTACGTGTATCCGCCCATACCCACAAACTCACTCACACCTTTTGTCACATTTAAATTATTGCTCAAAAACGTTTCAGTTATTATCAAATAAATGCCTGTGCACCGCACCTTGCAAGGAAGAGCACCAACTTTAACATTAACAGGAAATGAGGCCTTGTTTAGGTCTGTGCCCAAATGCAACGTTCCTTTGTAACCACTTCCTTCTTCTAAAGAAGATACATTAATGCCAGATCATACTGAAGTCAACATGTTTCTCGGCATGTTTCGGTACAAATAGCCCTTCGTCAAAACATGTAAAGCTTGATGTAATGCCTTTAGTGTAAGCACAACATCCCATCAGGGAAATGTATTGTTGTAGCTGGTTGAATTTTAGCTAGTTTGACAAACTTTACTTTATCCAACCTTTGGTATTTAGGTTCTAAACACAACGTAATGACAAGCAGATCATTTATTTAGTAAGTGAACAATATTAGGCGGCGAAGTAGGAAGTCTAATAGATCTTATAAATAAATGTAGTGGACTAAATTGGCAATATTTTCTCTACATATAGGGTAGTCAATTTATACATTAGAAAAAACACACACAGAGTAACAAAAGCACAGTAAAAATATGATGGAAAGGAAGAATTTAGCATATACATAATTTAATTTACATAGCAAAAACACAAAATAAGCCTACCTTGAGCAAGACAATTTAGCAGGTTGGCCAACAACATGGAAAGAAGCGACCTTGTCCAAAGTGTGGCCATTACATTTGGACCCAGACCTTTAGTGCCTGTACAAATAATACACATATATACATATGAATACACAGAAAATGTATCATCCACAGAAGGGGCAACATTCAACATGTATTTAAAAAAAGCATTTGAGTATTTATTCGGGTTACATGTAGTGAGTCATAATCACGAGCACGTGCATCGAAAAACTGTACATTGTGAACTTGTACATAAATAACATACATGCGGACAGTCCCGTTATATGTACTGTAACGTTAGTGAGTTTATGCATACGTAGTAACGGTATATAGTTAATACATAAAGGCACAGCGGCAACAGTCCAAATACTAAGTGAAAGTTGCCCAAAACCGTAGTTCGTATCTGAATTTTGTTAAATTTAAAGTGACATGTTTAAAGATCCTTAGTGATTCAATATAACTTCAAAACATTTACCTCGTTATGAGACACGCTTGAGTGTCTGTCGTGCGTACCGCAGCCATATACAACCTTGTTTCAAAGTTTGTTGTGAAGTTTAAAATGTTCAGGTTTTACCACCGGTGCCTCATCCCGATGGGTCGCCACGCCCCTTTCTGGAAATGCCGTGACGTAAACAGACTTTTACACTTCCTGCACTGTCTGCTGCAGGTCCAAAACAATCAGAGGGAGAAGTACTCAGTAGGCTACTACTTGTAAAAGTAGAAGTACCAAACTGTAGGAATACCTCGTTACAGGTAAAAGTCCTGCAATATAAATGTTACTCAAGTAAAAGTACAACTTTCAAAATATACTTCAGTAAAAGTACTCATTGTGCAAATTGGCCCATTTCAGAATTATATATGATATGTTTTGATTATAATTATTGATGCATTCATGTGTTTATCAAAGCTGGTAAAGGTGGAGCTAGTTTAAATACTTTGTATACTGCAGGATAACTTGTAAATGTATCACCAACTAAAGTATTTTTTAAGTGTTGTTTATATTTGTATCTTATTTATCAAAATCTGCAAAGAAACTAAAGGTATAAAATATGAAGAGGATTTAAAGTGCACTTTACCTCTGAATTGAAGTGGGGTTGAAGTACAAAGTAGCAAAACATTGAAATACTCAAGTAAGGTACAAGTATCTCAAAATTGTACTTAAGTACTGGGACGGGTCTGTTTTTCATGTTTTATGTTTATTTTATTATCTTTGCTTTTTAATGACTGTTTTTCAATTTTATAACGTGTTTCCGCTGCACTATTTCTTAATGCTCTTTCATTTTTGTTAAGCACTTTGAATTACCTTGTGTTGAAAGGTGCTATATAAACAAACTTCACTTGCCTTGAGTTACTTAGTTACCTTACGCCCCTAAAATCATTTAATGTCATATCGAAACAACACTGGTGACTTTTGTCTTAGCTTTTGTGATAATAAACCTCACCAGATATCACAGTAACTGATAAGAGCTCACTTGAAACTCACTGCACAGTATCAATGGAGTAAAGTAAATAAGTACATTTAATCAAGTGCTGCATGACACTTAAGTACAATTTTGAGGGACTTTTACTTTACTTGGGTATTTCCATTTGTTGGTACTTTGTACTTCTACCCCTCTAAAGTTCAGAGGTAAATCTTATACTTTTAGTTTTAGTTACTTTGGAGATTTTGTTCAATGATGTGAAAATATAATCAACACTTAATAAGACTTTAGTTACAGCTGGAGTAACTCTACCTTTACCACATTAGATCACACTCTAATGCATCAATAATTATAATCAAAACATATGAACATGCTGCTTAAGATTAATTTTAAAGAACTTTGACTCATTTAAAGATAGATACTTGCTGGTCAACAAAGAATAGTTTGAAAAATATATAGACTTGTGATTAATTGTAATTGTTCTGTAGTGTATTCTATTCCTTTTTAGTATTGTTTCTTTGTTGCTCTCCAAATAATGTCTCATCTATTGATCTTGTGACCTTTTGGAACCACTTCACTAAAAGGGAAGCATTCTCTACAAATGCAAAATACCAACAATCTACAGACGCAGAAAAACGTTTATTACAATGTGTGTGACAATTATTGGACAAGACAAAACTGCTTGGTTCAAGACTAATAATTAAGGCTGTTCATTTGTAACCATAAAATAATATGTAAACATTTAAAACACATGGCAGCCCTTTCCTTACAATTCAAAGAAAGAACAAATTAAACAGTTCACAATAGTTTAACTCAATAAAGAATGTCTTAAATGCATGACAAGTGGAAAAAAAGGAGTGTGTGTCTGTTTGTGTACTTGTGTATGTCTGCCAGTTTGTTCACTCATATGGCGAAGGTTGACTCAGCACAGGGAGCTGATCTCGCTCTTGCTGCAGCCCCACTTGCAGCAGGCATTGGACAGGCCCACCACCACGTCCCGGCCCTTGCGGTCAGCCTTGCGTAGGGCTTGCAGGATTTCTTCAGTGATGAAAGAGCGGGCTGGCCTGCTGAACACTCCCTCATGGCTGTCTGTAGTGGTGAAGCTCAGATCTCTGTTCCTCTGGAGGAGACTCTCCACCACAGGATTGTGAATCAAGCCCTCCGAGGGCTCCATCTGACTGGAGCTGAATGGGTCCTCTGAATCATCTGCAGCAGCAAAACAAGGAATTACAAAAAACATACTTGCATTTCTCTTCCATATCGAGATGAAATAATAGTTTGTCATTAAGATGGCATGATGTGAAAATAGAGTAATTAATCCCCGGAACGTTTCTGGGGAAATAGCAAACGATAACCAAAAATTAAGCTAGTGCACAGTCAAAAGCTCAAAATAACAATTTTGGGGTTCAAGATAACCCTTCTAAGGACGGTGCAAATGAAAATATAGCTCTACATTCCATATAATGTAAACACTGACTAAGCCAATTATACCACACAGTATGACCGTTCAATACAAATGTAAGTAGTATTTTCTTCATATCTGCATTTAAAATAAAATCATAATGCCAAACGTGTTTCTGCCAAATTACACACAATCACAAATGAGCATAAGATGGTAAAGAAACATAATAATGGGCATACATTAAATCTACAGAAATACTGAAATAAATTGTAATATTGATACCTCTGATTTAATTTGATGACTCAAACATACAACTAATACATATTTTAGTTACCAGATAAAATCATATACGTAATCATCAGATACAACCCTAACTGTGATGGTAGAGACCTAACAAGGTCAATGATGGATGTAGTGCCCTCAGCCTCTCACCTGAACTCCTGAGTGAGCGTCTCCATCTAGAGCCTCCACAGGTGAAGATGACTGCCCGGATGAACTCACGGCCACATAGCTTCACTCCATATGTTGGGACGTCAATGGGCTGAACCCCAGCCACCAGCAGACACACAGCCAGTACCACTGCTTTCCACATAGTACCACAAGGAAATACAGCAAAAATAGAAATGGTAAAAATTACAGGAGGTTATTTGCTTCAAGCAACACTTGGATTTCTGTCTCCCTGTTTGCAAGAGCTATGACTTTCTAGCTGACCCAGGTGTGGTTTATAAAGGGGTTGAAGCCCTGCATGGTAGACATGCAGTGCATGCAGGACTTTGCTGTAACAGATTTGAAAAAGAGATACAGTCACAGACCTTTATGGAGACAAAAGGAAGACCAAAGGTGGCATAATTACTGAATATGCCAGAGGCCTGATGATAAAATTGTGTTTCATCATGAGAAGCATTTCTGTCACCTTTAATGTCCCTTAGTTTAAACTTTACCTACATTTTATATACAATTTCAACCCAAATGTAAGAAATATCTGACCCTGTGACATAAAGAACGTTTAAAAAGCAAACCTGTCCCAATACGTTTTGTAAAGGCATGGCACTTTAAGATAAAGGCCATACATTTTTCTATATATTTTAACCCTAAAAATGGCTAAATTAACGCTATAATGTCTAATTTCCCCACCTTAGATGTTTTTGAAAGATGCAAAGATGTTCTAACTGTTAAATAAACGAGTCCTTTTGAAAAAGATACTACATGATATTTGAAAAGTTAAATAAAATACAAATTTAAAAAACATATGCCATTGCCTGAACACATGAATGAACCTTTCCAGCCAAACTACACATGTTGCATGAGTATCCCCGATAAGATTTAACATTTGCTGACATCACTATAGGGTTTCATTAAGGCCATTGTGACTGATATCACAATTATTTACATATTATTTATATCCGCTTGGCCATAATGAATCTACGTAAGACCCTGCATGACTTCATTTATGCATAATTTTTCCATTCTCTTGAAAATTGCTTATTGAGTCATCATCTCTTTGCCAAAAGGTGAACTGGGAGGACTGAGACAGGACCAGTGACATTTTCAAAGGTAGATAACATAGAAGTCTTATTATGAGTCAGACAAAAATAAAACACATTTTTATCTGTGTATCCACATAGTCAAAGGTCGTTCGTTCAGGAAATTACAATGGGGATGATAAATTTGTAATTAATGTGACGATCGCAAGCAAACAATGGCATTTTATGAGGGTGTCCACCCTGATATTCATTACCACAGTGTCACAGGTGACCTGAGGAAGTCATGGGAGCAATGTGAAAATCAATGGCCCATACAAATGTGTAGTGTATTAACCTCTATGGTATTAACACTGCACTAGATAAATGTATATAGTCCTAAATTGTATATAATTTGATTTATTTGTTTACTTTTAAATAATGTACAAACACTTTTCTTTTTTAATATACTGCAGGTGTTATCCTTTAATATGCACTGTTGTATGGCTGCTGCATAACTAAATGAAATTGCATAACTGGTAACTGTTGGCTGTTCACACTTCAGTTGTTAAACCAGAAATACAATCTGATGCATGACAATGTTCAAAAGGGTCTTCTTTGCTAAATAAATCTAAGGCATAACAGAAACAGAGTTTAAAGTTTACAATATGTCAGAAGAGGCAAATAGTCAAACTGCTTGGATATGAGGGCATTCAATGAATGAGCTTGGTTACAATTAATCCAGGTGTACCAGACCCATCATCACCATCATCACCAAAGACAAGAGGATAGGCTATGGAGAGTCGGTTTTACAATTGAAATAGAGTTACTATGATAATGACACTATCAAATCACTAACTGGAGAATTTGGATAAGCACTCAGATGAACCTATTACTTTCCCTGACATAGCATCCGCCTTACTCGTACGAAAATGATATGTGATAGACAGGGATGTTCCACAAATGGGCGTGGAAGGCTTTGTAGTAGAAATTCGCTGCTCCTGTGACTTTAAGACTATTTGGCAGCACTCAGCCAATCAGAGCGACGGAGGGGGAGGGAAGGGAGCGGGTGGGTAGCAACAGTTGCCCTGGTGAGGACGAAGCGCCATAGCCACGGTAGCCCTGGCGACAAGAACCCAGCAACGAGAATCAACAACAACAACAACTGAATCCGCCATAAAAATAAAAGAAGACAATTTACCGGTGGGAAATACACACGTGGATACAGAGGTGAAGCTCTTTACATATAGAATATTTTATGTCCAATATTGCTTCAACTGAATTGTGCTATTGCTATTTCCCTTGTTGTTTCAGTAGCCATAACAGGCAACTGCCTCCTAGTGTTAGCTGAAGTTAGCCTGAAAGCTAGCCGTCGTATTGATAATAATGCGAGTCCGTTTCTTGAACGGGGTAGTTCCTGTCCGCTACTCATTCGAGTGACACTGGATTGAGCTTGCCATGACGACGCAGCCACAGATGCATACTCAAGCAGGCCGTTGTTATGGCGATGTCAAATGCAAAAGGCACAAAATGGCGGTTGTTGTAGAGACCAGTTAGCTTGCTGTCTGTGTTACCTTGCTGGAAAGCTAGGTCTGTCACGACAGACTTGTGCTTGCTACTGCTTACAATTAACCACAACACGTAGCAGTAACGTGTAACACTGTTTTTGTACGATAATGAAATGTACGTGCATTCTATGGCTGTCTAATATGGTATGGCTGTGTAATATGGGAGGTTTTTTTCCAGCAAACCGGCATAAAACCTTGTCCCTGTGTACATGACGTTGCCTACCCAAAAGGTAGATCAAATTCGGACAGTCAAGTTAAAAGTGTATCTAGATTGGGTTTAGTGTTTATTTGGAAGCAGATTTGGAAAAATAGCTGTTGGAGAAATATCGATACTAAAGTAGAAAGCAAGAGGCAGGTGTCGGACATTTCATATCCGAGGGGCGTGGTGAAGGAAGACGTTTTGCAGGTGCTCTGCAGGTCCGAATTCAGTTTAACTTGTTGTTTTACTGAACTGCTATCTGAGTGTTAAAGATTGGCTATTAACATCAGCACTAAAAAACACATTTGTAGACACAGATTTAGTTCATTATAAACCTTCCCATCGGTCTTCAGTCAATTAAACAACGATAAAAAAGGCAGGAGGGGTATAAAATAGTATCAATTATATTGTATACGTCACAAATACACAAATTAAGGGCAATAATGTGATCTCCTCGTTAATGTGTGTGACAAAACTCATTTGCAACAGAATGCATTGCAGTATTAGTTCAACCGTGTGATTTTCCCACACAGTAGTGCCTGTGTTCAATGGCCATAGGATGTGTGATCATATTACAGGTAATGAGAAACCGAAATGCCTGTTCCCGTCAATGCTCCTCCCCCACATTTCCCCATCAGCTGCTCCACCAACAGGTCAGCTACAGTAGTTCTTAGAAAAGGAATAAGGAGCATCTGATGTTGATCTCTATTTTCCCAAACTATTTATACATTTGTGGAACCAACATAAAATGTTAAAGTATTGTCATCAATGTCATTTTACAAGATGGACCCCCAACTCCAAAATATGAATGAATGACTCAATACTACTTGTTAAACATTTCAAAGTTAAGGGAATACAAGCAGCTGTAATTCACTACAGTTTCTTCTGCTCTCCTCTCCGAAAGTCTGAAATTGTATCCCTCTTTCCTTTGAAACTGTTACTAGCTCTCTGTCCCCTGCCCCGTGTCAGTCTGAATGATTATATGGTGGATTGGAATACAAACTGACATCTAGCTATTCTGACCAAATAGGAAATAAACCGTTCCAGTCCCAGTTTTCAGTCTGGAGAATTCTGATCCTCCCTTATTGATAGCAGTTAATGCCTGTTTCTTTTTTCTAGGGTGATTCCCAGCTCCTGCAATGGCCACCTCAGGCTACGTAGGTGAGATCCAGCCAGCAGCCCAACCCCAGGGGGCCGTAGTAACCATCACATCGGGGCAACCTGACGCCAGTTCTACCCCTGCAACCTCCCCGCAGTTTCTGGCTGAGATTCAGACCGCTGTGGCCGCTCCCACTGTTCTCACACAAACGGGCCAAACTACTCCCCCTGATCAAGCCCTCTCCATCAGCTCTCCGGAGCCTGCAGATGGTTCCCAAGCCCAGTCCAACGCTCAAGCCCAGCCTCCTCAGACACAATACGTGACCGCAGAGATCCAGGGCTCCCCCTCACAGTCTGGAAATGCTCAAAGCACCCCTCAGTACATTGTTGTTACAGTCACAGGTAAGTCTGAAACTGGGCCAGTTCAGGGTCTGCACTTTACCGTATTAATCCACATTTGAATGGTTACTCCTCATAAAAAAGGAGCAGCTTAGAAACGTTTATTAATATAAAATATGATTGAAGAAATATGTGTACATTATTTTAAAGAATCCAAACTTATCAAATTGAATGACTTCTTATGTTCCTAAGGGCAGTCAGTCAAGGCACTATAGTTGCCTTTCTACAACATTTCTTGTCGTATTTATTTATTCTTTGTTTAATCAGATGGTTTCATTGAGATTAATATCTATTTTCTAAGAAAGACATGAGAACAAAACACATTCACAAGTACAGAAACAACACAGACAGATTCAACACCACTACACAATAACAAGGACAACTGTTATGGATACTTTTGCCTGAATGGTGAAATGAACGAAATGTGAACCTACAAAAATTGAATTATATCAACAGCTTCATTCAAAGTTAAATCATGTATCAAATTTGAATGTATTAACATTCCCTCTATGTCTCACAGAGGGCTCCCTTCACTCCTGTGACAGCGTGTCGGACTCTAGCCCCCCCCCAGCTGTGGTGCAAACAGGAGTTCCCACGCAGGTTGTTCAACAGGTTCAGTCAGCTCAACAGGTAAAATAATAATACTATAATATAACTATAGTATCACAATAATACACATTATAACACAACAACAAATTAATATGTCCTTCACTCTTAAAACGATATAGTATGTTTATCTCTGCAGAGATCTGTGGTGCAGGCTACTTCTCAGATAGCCAAGACTGAGCCTGGTACACAGCTCAGTGTCACCAGCCTGCAACCTGTTCATATCGGCCAGGAGGTAAGTCAAACACACACAGTAACACAACTCATCATTGGTGATAAATAGGACAATAATGTGTACTGTCAGTGACAAATATTACCATGGAATACAAGCAAACACATTTCTCATATCTTTCACTTTGAAAGTTAATCACATGTGACATCAAAACTTTCCAACTTCCTCACATTTTGACTTAGTATTAGTCAATTTATCACATCTTTGGTGGAACCTGCCTCTGCCTCAGTTCCTCCCTAGCACCGTGCTGACAGCATTAGTCAGGGATAGGAATCTTGAAGAATGTCTGCAGCAACATGAGATAGGACAGGCAGAGTTCCAGGCCGAGGCTTCAGCAGACTACATAAGAGAATGCTGCGGCACACCCCTCTACCTTCCCTTGGAGCTCCTTCAGTATTACCAATCACTGTACTGGCTCTCTGTGGCTGCGGAGAAAGAGATAGGGGCCCAACCTGCAGTCACAAACTCAGGCCCATATCAGCCACCACTGCAGACTACAACTGCCACTTTCCAAGTAGGTCAGGGACACTGCTGTTTAGTTAAGGGAACAGAGAGGCTGTCTGAAACTAAGAAATGAATTCATTTTGTATTAATTGATATGTTTGAACTAAAAGGGCAAATATTTATGGGATTTTTTGTGTGTGCTCACTCTTAAGGTTCAGCAGCAGCTCACACCAGTGCCCGTGCAACATGTGTACGCCAATCAAGTGCAGTATGTGGAAGGAGAAGAGACCAGCTACACAACAAGCACTATGTCAGTATATATTTGGGTCCATTATTATCTAACGCATGTCCAGACAGAATTTTTTAAGCCAAAAAAAGTGTAAAAAAATAGATCATGATAGTGAGATACTTGCTTAAGTTGCATAGTAATACAAATAAAGAATAATGACAAGAACAAGATGGTAAAACATTTGGAGCCATCCATTGGTGTTTACATACCTAAGGGGTTTGTGGTCATAATGCCATGACCATGGGACAGGAGAACACCTTTTTTGTAGATTCCAGGAACAATTCTGTCCAGAACTATGCCATTTGCTACCTACCTGACTAGCGGACTTTACTGTGAGCTGGTTTGCTGATTTATTATTTGAACATTTGCTGTAAAAGGTTACCTGCCATACGTTCTAAAACCAATCTACTGTTGACTGGACTAGCTGAATCATGGTGACACCATCAGCTGGTCGGGACAGGCTTGTTGACACTGCTGCAACGATCTAAAGATAATGGTCAAACTGGTCTGAACTGTGCTTAAATGTTTATTTGTCCACCAGTTTACTATGCTTCTAAAATTATTTGTCTGTATGTCTTTCATCCAGCCGGTCGAGCGCCTTTCCCTACACTGACACGCCGCTGTACACCCAGACCACAGCTGCCCAGTATTATGACAGTCAAACAGCTTCTGTCTCACAGGCCTCCCCTGGCACACCTCTAACCGTCTCTGTGACTGCTGGCACAACAGGGGGGGTGTCCATGTTTGTTGCCCAGCCCACCAGTGCAGCAGGGGGAGGGGCCACAGTGGTGACCACAGGTGGCACCACCAATGGGGCAGGGGATGGGGCAGGAACCAACGGTGGCGCAGCAGGCAGCTATGTGATCCAGGGGGGGTACATGCTGGGCAGCAGCAGCACAGGGACAGCTGGCAACAGTCAGAGCTACTCTCACACCGCCCGCACCTCTCCAGCCACTGTGAGTATTACAGAGGGCGAGGAGGGTAGCGTGCCGTCGGCAGACAAGAAGGTATGCAGAGGCGCCAAGCGCAGACATTTTCTTATTTTGTTCTCATCCACACAACCCTTTGCTTGGGCATACTGATGATGTCATAGTTTTGTCCAGTCGAAAGCACAATTTAAAAAATTGAGATTTGGACTCGAGATGTACCAAAAAGGTGCTTAATTGATCAAACACTCGAATGCTGCTCACTTTTTATTTTATTTACAACATGCCTTTTTGTTTGATTTCGGCACATTTTTGCAGATAAAAATAATCTGACATTCATAATATTAGTATTACACTGTTGGCACTGTTATATTCCAGTGGTGGTTGCCTAGGATTCCAAAAGTCCAACTTTTTCTAATGAAATATTTTTGCTTCAATCCATATTTGTTGGCATTTAGCCAAACACAACATTTTCACTGCGGTCAAAACACTGCCCTCCTGCCTGCTGCACACAAAGGGAGGAAGGCAGACGGGGGCGGTGGAGCAGCAATCTAACATTCGAGCTTCTACTGAGGTTTACAATGAAGCTTTGATCATCGTGCTGTTAGAGTGCTGATGGTAAAAAGAGGATGATACAGTCCCAATAAGGACCATAATAAATATTTCATAAGCATACAGTCTTTTTAACTGTGGTTTCTTCCTGAGAGAAAACAAAATCATGGCCTCATCATTTTCATATCATCACAGTGCATGTGACGAGGGCCATTTTGAATTTGCCTGAAATGCCCTTACACTCAATTGTTCATCCCAGATTCATCCTATTGAAGCCCGCATGATAATGGTCACTAACCTATGTTCGGCAACATCCCATAAATATTGCAGGTCATTCATTCATTGCATACCAAAAACGTATGCCACGGCACGCATTTCCAAATGATGGATAAACTGATCATGTCAATTGATTGGTTTGTGTTTGTTTCATTATTTGATTAGAAATATGTGTGTGCATGTTATGTATTTTAAACTTCAAAAATGTGCCTTTGCAATTAAGAGTGCCTGTTATTGCATGTTGTGTGTGGTGTGTTTGTATCTACTGGTTTGCTAACTGCACCAGCTGTTTTCTTTTTTCTTTGCCTGCGTGTCAGGTACAGTGGTTGCTGGACAACTACGAGACAGCTGAAGGAGTGAGTCTGCCACGATCCACGCTCTACTGCCACTATCTGCTGCACTGCCAGGAGCAGAAACTGGAGCCTGTCAATGCTGCCTCCTTCGGGAAACTCATTAGATCTGTGTTCATGGGGCTGCGCACACGACGCCTCGGCACACGGTAAGAAAGGTCCTCAGACTTCCAAAATCAGGTATAAAAGACATGAGACACATATCAATATCATTCCTAATTAATGGACACCCAAGCACATGAACATTGGAGGATTCTTTAATCAAATCGAGAGATGGAGCAATACAAAATGTTGGCGTAGTGTAGGAAGAAATGTGGGCGGAGACAAGGACAGACAGCATGTGTGTGGGTGAGTTTTATAAAGTAGAGGAGATGAGCAAATCAGATTGGCTTTTGAAAAATGTTTGGTAGAATGGGTTTAATTAAGAAATCCAATATATTTTTTCAAAGGTTTGGATTTTAAATAATACTTCAAATGTTTGTCAGTCTTCATTAAGACTCTAAAATGTGTGGCTTTGGAAGAGTAACAACAGGTTGATATCGGCAACATAAACCCTCTCTCCGCTCATAGCTACTACTCAGTATAGAAAAACACATGTGTCTCCAATTCTATGTAACACACTTTGTATCCGCTCCCAACAGGGGTAATTCTAAATACCACTACTATGGGCTGAGGATCAAGGCAGGCTCTTCTCTTCTTCGTCTGATGGAAGATCAGCAACATCTGGCCATGAGGCAGCAGCCATTCTCACAGAAACAAAGGTGCTGTACACACATACAATAATCATCCATAACATTGACTGCATATAAGCCTTTTTAAATCAGAAGTGAAAGTTGTATGAGGGAAGCATGGAGAGCACCCAATCTGCTCATCTCCTTGATGGCGACTTCTCAATCACAAAGTAGCCACGCTCTACAGAATATGCTGCTGTCTTTTTGGCAGAAATCTTACTATAATTTAGAAAATCAACATCCTGCTTTATCGAAGGAGACTCGAAACTAGCCATTGAGACCAGAAACTAGGGATGTAACGATATATCGAATATCGCGGTAAATAAATGTCTCAATACCGTCGTGAGACTGACAACATCTACCGCGATTTTTTTTTTTTAAATTTTTTTTAAATTTTTTTTTTTTATAAACATTTATTCAAC